ATGATTTTGATGTGAAAAATGAAAAACGTGGAATACCACGAAAAAAGTTTCAAGTCACCGAACTGCAAGCAATATTAAATGAAGGTGATACTTTGAGTCATGTTGAATGTTGCACAACAAACAATTTCAGACAGTATGAAAGCAATGAGAAAGATCCAAAAGTGTGGAAAATGGCTGCCACATGAATTGAATGAAAAACAGAAAGACGAAACAAAATCAGTTTTGTAAAAAGCAATAGTCAATACTTTGAATAGATTTTTTTACTTTTCCATTCAAAAATAGTATTTATTTTCACAAGAAACGGTGCACCTCTTAACAATTCACTGTAACCTTAAGCACATAAATCCTCATAGTAACTAACTTATGCTCCTTCAAAATTGAACTTCAAATGCACATAAATATTAATGTACACTTCAAACCATTTCTATGCGCTCACCTCACGCACATCTGACTCTACCCTCAGGATACACCACAAATCGATATAATCACCTCCGGCCGCTAAGCAGGAAGTTTCCAATGCTATTACAATTTTGTTTGTAGCACTTCTATTGTTGCCTTCAAGGACCTCTGCGCAATTATATAAAATATTCCACTTTCAATTATATTTTACGCTCGCACACATAAATTGTTATGGAAATACATACACACGCTTATATAATATTTTCAAACGAAAACCTTATTATGTCGTCAAACAATCCATACAATTTTCAGGCACGTGATCTAAAAGGTACTCCAACGTTGTGTCACGAAAAGGTGGTAGCGCCGTATTTCCAAACCAAAGGCCAAGCAACCACTGTAAAAGTATAAATAAAATAAATTGTATGCGCGCTATGTTTATGTGCATAAGTAGATTTACGAGTACGAGAACTTTAGCTAGACCAAAGCTAGCGAGTATTTACGAACACTTCAAAAGGTGATTTAAGCATTGCAAGTGTAATTATTATTATTGCGTTTGCTCTTAATTTCAAAACAACAAAGAGATATTCAAAAACATATATATATATATATAATATATAATATATATATACATACGTATATAAAGGTTTATTAATATATATGTATCCTTATCAGCTCCCTTTTCAAGCCACATAGCCCCTGCCGGTGGGCGGCTGACTAGCGGCTAGCGATGACGCCAACAGTGTCGAATGACGTTGCGTCATTAAATTTTCATGACCATGTCGTACGTTCCCTTTGTATTATTTTTTTCAGTTTTATTTTCCTCTCTTTTTTTCAGTGCACTTGGAGTTTTTGGTCATATGCACATATTTTTGCCCACTGCTTCACTGCTTTCAGAGGGTTGTCTGGTGGTTGTTGGTTAATGAGCGTGTCGACCCCAACGTATGCCATGCACTTGAGTTAATTATAAATATACAGGGGAGCAGCAAGGCAGGTGACTTCGAGAGAATTATACTTATATAATAGTATTTAATATACTTGTAGAAATATAAAATGATAACTTTTTTGTATTAAGTTTGATATTAAAAAGCGTGATGGTGATCAGAAAAAATTATTCTAGATTCGGAGATCGGGGTCAATTTCTTCCGGTATGAGAGTTATCTGGAAGCCCGGTGCCTTACAAAAATTTTTTGTATAATTTTTTCTCCAACAATTCACTACAATTATTACTATCATATCATAATAATAATTGCATATTGTAATTTAAAATTATGCTCTATTAAAAAATATAATTGTTTGAGATCAGTATCAATGTCTCTTCTGGATGCTTTACCCGGTCATGTATGTGGTTCATAATATAGTACTCGATCGCAAAAAATATATGGTAATTTTTTTTTTTCAAAATAAATGAAATTTTCTTTCTAGATCTCACAGGGCCCATATTTTCTCTCCGTGGCCCTGCCTGAAAGTTGTGATCTTAAAAAATCTAAATGTTTATTCTTTCCCATATTTTCTCTCCGTGGCCCTGCCTGAAATTTGTGATTTAAAAAAATCTAAATTATTATTCTTTCGATTAATATGTATTCTTAAAAAGTTTCAGTCCGTCAGTTATTTGAGTAGATTTATGATTAATAAAAATCGGTGGAAGCGTTTTATATTGTAAATATATATATATATATATATATAATAACTTTAGACAATTAAAAATAATTATAAAAGTTTAAAACTTTTCACATAATTCGTTAGATATTAACTAAGGAACTTTGTTGTATTAACTAATTCGAAAGCTCTAATAATCATGAAGTAATATATAATATGTATACTCATTACAATGAAACAATTTCCGATTGCTTTTTTTTCACAATGGGCTTTTCTTTTCTTTAGTCTATTTGTATCGATTTTTTCTTCCCTCAACTGTACAACAGCAGGTTTGTACAAATTCTCTTGGCCGAAAAAAAAATTCGTTTACAACAAGCAACGTGAATAAAAAAGCGGAAGCATGAAATTTACTTTTTCGACACACCTGCCAAGTTTCCCAACCAACTTGGCGAATAGTGAGTACAATTTTACCCCACTTTTCTGTATTGCCCCCCCACAAGCAATTCAACATCAAAGATCCGTGTTCGTGAAATGTAATCCTCACACGAGCGTTGAATTTATGGCTGACTATAACAGTACGCACATCTAGACGAGCGTATTTTTTGTTTCTTTTCTCATTTAGTGCATTTGTGCCTTTCCACCTTTTTAACCACCTCTTCGCTCCACCGCACTCTTCATATTCACACTAAAGCCCAAGGGCTTTTAGCTGGCTGCTATGAATGCTAGAACTGCTATGGAGCGCTTTCGAGTCCTTCCGCCATCCACTACCATATATACACATAAACATACATATACATAATTATTTACTCAAACGCTTTTCTTTCAGCTGCTCAGCATTCAGCGGCGTGTTAGCGTATTCAAGTGCATTTGGCTCGGCTCGGCCTTTTTCCTACTATCTTTTTCATGCTTTGTTTGTGTATTCATTTTATTTTGTTAGCATATCCGTTTATATTCCTCTCTTACGCCATTCATTATCCTGAGGCATTTTCCCATTTTCCCGCATTTTCTTTTTAGAAATTGTTTCAGTGGCTTGTCTACCACGAACCTTGTTATTATTATTACCAACATTTCCATGTTTCCTTCTTAAAACGCTGGTGCAGGGCTTAGATAAATTGTTCCACAAAGGTTTACGGTTGGCTAGGCACTCGTTTTCCGCAGCACTAGTTTATTTAGTGCACAACCGGAGACTATAATGTGGAGCAATTAAAACGAAAATTAAGCCCCATTATAATAGAATTTCTATGTTGTCGAATGATGAAGTACACAATGCCTACACGCTGTATCATAATCGAAAGCGTGGAAATGGACAACTTAGTAAAATTTTCAAACTTTCATAGCAGCTGAGAATTATGCTTTCTCTTGTCAAACGCTAATGTCTAATGTCAAACGCACTATAAAAATATAATATTTCCAAACTGTCGTAATAAATATTTCAATCAACACATGACGTTGTATAAATGGAACATTCTTAACAAAGTGTGTTGATGGTGATTTCCTACTGTTTTCGAGAGCATAATAAAAACTCGTTCTCCTTAAGAGTTTTGCTAGCTAAATCCGAATGTAATGGAAAAGCGATCAAACAATGTACATTTAGGATGCCAAACAAAATCAACTTACACCATGCTCTGGTATTTTTAATAAATGAGAGTCAAATATTGTAGCTTTGGTCATTATTTGTGTGCGGCGGACCTCTCTTTACTTTTTAAACGATAAGCGGTACTTTACTATAAAGCTACGGGAAGAGGAAAAGTCTTGAAGAAATCACCACTGGCAATAAATTCGGTAGGGGAAGCTGTTTCTGGGAGAGTTCAATGCAAAATGGTTCAAGCAATTAATTGTTCTCCCCAGAGACAAATTTAAACAGCTAGTGGTATTTTATGCAGATCACTGCACAGATTAGAATACCGTTCTACAGATCTGCATCGGTTCTGCGACCAATGGATAGAGACAGCAGAGCACATAATCCTTAATTGCACCGCAAACCCAATTAGGAGTCAGGAGAAGGCTATCGGACAAGTAAATACGGTGAGAGAACACATCACAATGCTTCAACCAGGAACTTAACCAACCTTTTTTGATTCAACTATATTAAATGAAGTGTTGTGCTAAGAGGAGCGGGCACTATAGATCACAGGTCACAGTGCATTCTTTAACTCTCAATATGTGTACCTAGATATGTATCCACTTTAGTATTTAGAAGTGTAGTAGCAAAATAGTATTTCAAATCTTTTTCCTAAAATATCTATATGTTATATGTTCATATAATCAACCAAAATACCTATAATCCATACCTTTCGAATAAAATTTTAAGCTTTTTTAGTGAAATTTATGACATCTCACCCATTTCGCTAGTAATTATATTATATATTTAATTATATAAGAACCCAATTTCACGAATGTCGGAATTCGAAGCGTACCAAGTAGTTTGTATAACTTTTATGATTGAAATGTGTGTCACTAGTGGAATGAAGAATATACCCATTTAAGAATATTACAAACAATTTACAATAACTTTTGTAAGAATGTTGTTGTACCGTATATGTACTCCGCAACATTCCAACGCATTTCAGCACCATTTACGGGTAATTAAATTTAGCAATTTGTCGAGCGCCAACTCAATTAACTAATTTGTCGTTTTGTTTGCAAAATTTTTAACCAGAAACATTGAAAGCCAAATAAATTAATTCCAATACAAACGGATAAAGAATCGCATGAAAATGGACGTCCTTTCACTTCACAGAAACAACATTTCAATCATAAAATTCTAAGCTAGTCGTTGTTTTGGAACACAGACATTCTAAATGTAACAAAAACTTTTAAGGAAGCTAACCACTTTGAAAGGAATTTTCCACTAAGAAAGCCAAAATAAGTGTATAAATAAATTGAAAAACGAAATTGGAAACAAATCCAAATAATAATCTTGAGTTTAAGGCAATAAAGTAAAAGCAAATGAAAAGTACTTGACATTGAAATCTAATGGAAATCTTGTTTCTGTGTCGTTAAAGGTTGTCCAGACGTTTGCCAACGATCCTACTAAAATGCAAAAATATGCCATACAACAAATGTAGAGTGGAGAGGGAAAAGCTAATGTACGACAAGCCACAAGCAGACGCCACAAAACCGAAGTTTAACGAAAGCAACGCTAAGCCAACACACACACATACTCACACACAACACTAAAGAAACGAACACAATGTGCCTGTTAGTAACAACAACAAGAAGAACTAAAACAACAAAATTTAGTAAAATCACAACCAGCGGAGAAAGCGAGGGAGAGCATATTACCAACTAACGTAAAAGTTTTTACGTTCCAAACCAACACGAGAAGTAGAGAAGTAAACCCACAAAAGTTGCGAAGCATACAAAAAAGGGGAAATGCAACAAAAATGAAATTAAAAGTTCCGAAACTAACTGAAAACGTTTGGACTAATAATAAGACAACAAGAAAGTACAGCATAGTGTTTAAAAAGGGATAGTAAGAGCGTAAAGGAGCCAAGCCAAGCTAAGGACACAACATAACAAATTAAAGTGCGAACCTACGAGCTACGCCGTATTAAGTACAAAACTTTAGCAATAAAAAGAATATTTAAACATTTAAAAATCTTTAACGTAAGTCTACAAAAATGGCCGGTTCATTTCAAATACCGCTGCTAAATCTCGAGCTGCGGGAGGTCAAAGAAATTGTTTGGGAGAAAATTCAAGAGCCCGTTAACCAACGTCGTCTCATCTTAGTGATAGTCTCGATAGCGCTGCTTTTGGACAACATGCTGTACATGGTTATCGTACCGATTATACCGGATTATTTGCGTGAGATCGGTAGCTTCGATGATGACACACCAACGCCGCCGCCATTGCGCGATAATCGCACCGGTCTAATAATACCCGTACACCACGACCATCATGGACAAGACTCTGCCACCGGCATACTATTCGCATCGAAGGCCATTGTACAATTGATGGTGAACCCCTTCTCCGGTGGTCTCATCGATCGCATTGGCTACGACTTACCCATGATGATCGGTCTGACCATTATGTTCTTCTCAACAGCGATGTTCGCTTGTGGCCGCAGTTACAGTTTACTTTTCTTCGCGCGTTCTCTACAAGGTGCGGGATCGGCTTTTGCCGACACATCGGGCTTAGCCATGATAGCTGATCGCTTTACCGAGGAAAATGAACGTTCACAAGCATTGGGTATTGCTTTGGCATTCATCAGTTTCGGTTGTTTGGTTGCGCCACCTTTCGGCGGCGCACTCTATCAGTTCGCCGGCAAGGAAGTGCCCTTTCTTATTTTGGCGTTAGTGTGTCTCTTGGATGGGCTTATGTTATTGCTGGTAATGAAACCGCTTAAAGATCAAATAAGACAAAGCAAAGAGGTGCAACAACAATCGATTCCTATATGGCGCTTGCTAATGGATCCATACATTGCGGTCTGTGCCGGTGCATTGACGATGTCGAATGTGGCATTGGCTTTTCTAGAACCCACCATATCGCTGTGGATGGAAGATAATCTAACAACAGAGAATTGGAAAATTGGTATGGTGTGGCTGCCCGCCTTCTTTCCACACGTGCTGGGTGTAGTCATCACTGTGAAAATGGCGAGAAAATATCCACATCATCAATGGCTTATGGCCGCCGTAGGTTTAGCACTTGAAGGTTTCTCCTGCTTCATAATACCGTTCTCCAGCTCCTACCAAATGCTAATGTTACCCATTTGTATTATTTGCTTCGGCATCGCACTCATCGATACTGCACTCCTACCTACGCTGGGCTACCTGGTGGACGTGCGCTATGTATCCGTGTACGGCAGCATATATGCTATTGCCGATATTTCATATTCGATCGCATACGCAGTCGGTCCCATCATTGCGGGCGGTGTAGTAGAGGCGATCGGTTTTACAGCGCTGAACTTCATCATTGCCTTCTCCAATCTGCTGTATGTACCCGTGCTACGTAAACTGCGTAACATCTACGATTTTAAACCGTTCGAAAATGAAGCCAACATTCTTATGCAAGATCCACCAAACAAAGAATATCAAACTTATGTAATGCACGATCAGAAACCTATCGATGGTGATTTCAAAAATCATCTCGAGTATGGTCAACAATATCAGCAGGAGCAGGAATCCAATGTGGACGATACAAACTATGAGTATCAACAACAAGATGGTTACCAGCAAGCTGGCGGAGTTGGCGGTGGGGCTTATCAGCAAAATCAGGGTTATCAACAGCAATATCAACCTGGCTATCAGGAGCAGGGCGGTAATTATCAGCAAGAAACGCGACATCTTCCACAACAACGCGTCGCAAATCCGTTCCAGCATCAGCAGCAACAACAGCAAATTAACGATGGTGTCGGCGGGAGTAGAGGCCCTGCTGGTCCAGCGAATCCATTTAGACAAGGATTTTAAAATGTTGTCTTATACAAAGTTAGCGGTAATCTATGTTTGTTTTTATATCTTTGATCGCATAGTTTATGTGTTCCGTTGATTTTTCAATAACATAATATGTACTTTGTTGTTGTGGCTAATAGTAATACTATAATACCTATATATACATATATCTATACAAATAATGCAAATAGGTGAGAAGTTACATGAAAAATTAATAAATAAAAGCGATCATATAATTATCATAGCAAGTGAAGTGTACACTATAACCGCATGACTAGGCATACCATAGATACTCGTACATGATGTTGCACCTAAAATATCGCATACATACATATACTCATATATACGCCTGTATGTAGATATACTATATAAAGAGTTAGATAACAGAATCTCAAAAGTAGCTAAGAATTTCCAATGCAAACAGCACTTTTGTATTATACACTGAAAATAGTTATATATTATCATATAGGTATTGATAACTCTAGTTGAGTTAAAGATCATTTAAAATAGCAATAACAATGTACGCATCAATATGTATAGTCTATGTCGTGTACAGTATAGCATATAAAAGGAGCGCTTTGGAACGGTTATTGTGTACGAATATTGCTATTTAGTAAAAATTCTCAAGCACAAATTATTATTTTAGCATTAAAAAATTTATAGTTTTGTTTATTATTTAACAAAAATAGGTTTATTTAACGCAAACGCATCGGCTAGATGGTTATAGAACTAGCCAAGAATCACTTCCGACTGGAATGAGCCATACCTATGTATGACAGTTCACAAAAATACATACTGAAACCGTAAATAATTTTTGGTAGGCGATACATGACTGAAGTTTAGACACAGCATTGATTTACTCATTATAAAATAAAATAGAGAACACTGATTGGTTCTAACAGGCCAAAAGTTAAAAAAACAAGTTGGGAAAATCTGATTTAATTGCCCTTATAAACACAATTTTTTACGTTTGAAACGAAAGAAAAAATATATTCTTATAATTATTTAATTTTTACTCGAATAGGAATAATATTTGTTAAAAAGTGTATCATCAAACTTTTTCTATGGCGGGTTAAGACATTTTTCGTAAAATTTTCCAGATATTCGCTTCTTTTCTTTAAGATACACTTAGGCTTGGCTAGGTTAGGTTAGATGGCTGATCCCCTAAGATGGTGAGGGATCACAGAAACAGACTTTTGTGAATACAGATAAGAACTCTTGTAGTTGAATATTAACTCTCGACTAAGTGTCTTCAACTTATCACAAATCTGATTTCCGCTATTCCATCTGGATGTCGCAAAGCGTGAGATGCAAGGTATTTTAGGCTTCATCTGGCAAAGACGGGATATTCCAGAAGAAAGTGTTGAGACGATTCGATCTTATCCTCTTCCACGCAACTTACACACCTGGAATTCGATATATTTTTCAATTTTACCGCATGAAACCCGATCGGGCAGTTTCCAGTTAGAACTCATACAACTACTGAAAAGTGAACTTTACAAAGGGTGAAGAGCACACTGGTATCTGACCATCGCTTGCGCAGCTCGCCCGAAGTCCAATCATCTAGTAGTGAACTGCAAGAAGCCAGTGCAGCTCCTACCCGTTCCCATTCTACAGCTATTGAGACAAAACTGCAAGCTGGGCAGCAACCTAAATCAGCCTGCTCACAAAGTAACTCAATACCAGAGATCGTGCAGACACATATCTTCACTAGTATCGAGCGTATAGTCAGGGAGTTCAATAATCAAGAGACACTAAGTTTATGTTTCCTTTCTTTCATGGTAATATGGTATTCTTCCATGTCGCCTCTTTTAATTATAACCATACATACTGAAAATACTTAGAGGTATTAAATGTTACGTGATCTTGCTGAAAATGGTCGTGTTCACCTTTAAAAAGTCTAATTCAAGCCAATAGAATTATTGTGGATATAAAATGGAAACACGGTAACATTTGTTTCCACTTTTCGTTTCCTATAAAATTTAAATATACTTTCAGGTGAAAAAGTTTAAAATCACTTAACGTGAGGTATTCAATACATAATTTTAATGCAGAAACATATCATTATGATAAACCTGAAGCCGTGCAAATATGATATATACATATAATAAGCGCTTACCAAGTTTTACTGCGTGTTGACGTAAGTTATGAATACAATTCGCAATTTATTTACTTATTAATTATTGCTATTTTATTTTGTGAAAACTTCAGTCATTTCAGCCGAAATACCAATACGAAGTATATTAGTTAAAGTTTTAAAGAAAATAAACATTTTGGTTTGTAAATTAGATGGAAAAGTATATAAACAATGAAGCTAGCAAAACCAAAGATTACCAGTTAGACATACTATAGTGACAAAGAGTAGAACGAAAATGAAATCGGAAGTTACGAGTAACAAAAATTAGCATGTATTTATGTAAGTGTGGCAAACTGGCGATTCGGTGCTGCTCTAGCAACACTATCCACATGGCATCAATATCGCTTACATATCAAAAGTTGCACAAAAATCTTTCGGGTGTCGTTGTGAAGTGACGCTGGCGCACCGAATCGCTCGTTCGTCTTTCTAGATTTAATAAAACAAATACAAAAACAAAAAAATCCTCAGTTCAATTATGTGTTTAGTTTAAGTTTGACGCCACAAGCCGACATTGCACGTGGCCGACATCGCACATGTCTACATATCAATTAAAAAAGTTGACGTGTCGCCGATTGAGTACACACAGTCGGTGTGGCAGATAACGATTCTTAAACATAAGACACAACCAAGGTAACGATACATATCAGAGTCGCATGGCTCGCCTGTTAAAATTACCACAGTGATATTAATTATTGCTATTTAGCCTGTAATATACATACATTTATAAAAACATATACTTATATTATATTATAGATATCTATACATAACTATACATACTTATATAAATATGAATATAATTATATAACTTTACTCGTGTGTAGTTTATATCTCTTTGAAATTAAGCGATTATGAAACTATAGCTTACTCAATGAATATCTACACAAGCATAAATATTTTTATTGCAATTATGCGTTAAACACTGCAGTATATATTTACTTATATGATGCATATACTGGATTTATGTAAGTGCGAATTATCATATACATATGTTACATATACGAGTATGTAACGACTTACACCGTTATATACACATGAATAATGTTATCTTTTCGATAGTGTTTATAATCAGGAATAAATAACTGTAAAAGTTCTCTTCAATTTTTATATTTAAAGTGTGTGAGTAAATATTAGTTACTTATATGTACTCATTAGTATGTAATTATGCATATATAATATATATTTATAAATGTATGCGCATGAAGTGATTGTCGAGAGATATAGTTTATGAGAACAGCGTAAAATATAGTTTAATTTATTTTTAATCAAAATTTAAAAAAATGTATTTGTTATCTAAACACACGAACATTTTTTTGCTCCTTATCGGGAATTTCTCTTCCTCTCTCGCCTATTGCATTTACACGGGCACTCGGGTCAGGCAACTCAAGTCGGAAAATGTCTGCTTTTTCTTTTCATATCAGATTCTCAAAACCCCTCATTTTATTTAATACAAAAATTAAAAATTTACATTTACAGAATATAATGCACATTAATTTTGGTGAATCATTTTGAAAAATTTTTATTTCCTTGATCCCGTAGCGGATCTCTAGGAGAAAAAAAGATGTCTGACGGTGAGAAATATTTTTCTGCTTAAAATTATCCCAAGTCTAAAATCCAAAAAAATATATTATTACGATAGGTAAATACGGGTAATGATCGAAGGACTAGTCAAAATATTTATTTTTGACAAAATAGCGGTGTCGCAAAAAGAAAAGTAGTTTTTTTTGAAGGCTTAACAAATCAAACTCGTTTTAATTCGATCAATACTCGGAAAATATATCTAGGAAGGTCGTGTGAAAATTTTAAGTCAGTCAGTCTACCTGTTTCGGAGAAATTTCCTCACCGACTTTGAGTGTTTGGAGAGAAACGTGTTTAAAGTTAGCCGAGTTTACTTAAGTCAAAAATTCTTACAAAAAAGCTCATATCTTCGAAATTATATTGTATTTGCCGGATTAACTTGAAATCTTCGAAATTTATGCATTACATACATTCGATATACAATATGTGTAAACAACAAAAAATAATTTTTTTTGAAATTCACGAGTGGATATAACCCCTTAAACGTCGCATAAACATATTTTTAATTAGCTAATTTTTATAATTATTCACAATGTTCTAAAATATTTCTTTTAAATTTTGCATATTTGTGTACATATTTGCATTTTATATGCATAAAATATATGATAAAATTATATATTTTCGAACAATTCAATTTTCACAATTGCACCAATGAAAAAAGTTTCTAAATGAAAACGAAAGCCGAATAGCATAGCAGCGAACTGTTACGAAAAATAACACAAAGCGTGTTGCTTGAGCACACGAGACTCCTTCGGTTTTTTCGCCCAACTACTAGTTTGAAAAATAAGAATTTTCGTGTGTGAACACAGTCTTAGTGAAAAGTTTCTAATAATGCCTTTTATACGGTTACATAACATAAATATGTACGTAGAACGGTTTTAACAACCTAAACAAGTGACTTTGATTTGATCAGAGACAAAATAAGTGTTATTTTTAATTTTCTTGAGTTCAATTAATCTTGAAGAAACATTTGTTGCAAAATCATTATTAAACCCCTGTTAATTTTCGTGTCAAAGTTTTTGTTAGAAAATGTTACTTTTATTTAAAAGGTGTATTTCTACAATTTTTAATATAATTTTATGTATGATATACTATTTTTAAAAAAAATTTTACAAAAATTACAAAATAAACTGTTCTACAGCCTTTTCGATCAATTTCATGCACAAAAAAAAACTGTAAAATTAGATTTAAAAAAAAAGTATATAAGAAATATAGAAGAAAATTTAAAAGTAATATTAATAAATTCTATATGTACATAAACAAAAAATATGACGATTTCATATTTACATACCTACCAATCAATTATTATTTGCTTGACTTTATGTACTGCACAAAAAATGCTGTGAATATTTTATAGCAGCAGGCATAAACGTCGATGAAATTAGCAGGTGTACCTTAAATGTGAATTAATTAATGTTAAATAGCTACATAATGTACATGTACTAGATATACTGTACTACATACACGCATGTGTCACCGAAATACATGTAAGAACAGTTAATAATATTATAGATATTTGTACGCGAGCATAAGTGGTTTATGTAGTTAAAAACCGTTTCGTCAGCACTTTGGCAAAAATTACTCAAAAATTCCCGTTCTATACCTATGCAAAACAAATACAACCTATACATAACCCAAGCGAGTGTATACACACGCAAAATGCTTTACAAATAGTTATACAAACAAATATATATCTATAATGGCTATTAAAAAGATTTTTTTATTACACAAACATATATTGTATTATGACGTCTAGGTGTCAATTTAAGGCAATTTGTCAATATTTTATAGAATCTGCCTATTTAATTGTATAATATCAATATCTTTACCCCTGCCCATATATTTCCGAAGATACATATATAAATATATACATATATACTGATAATTGGTTGAATTTTAAATTACAAAATGCTAAATGAACTACAAAAAATGATATACATAAATACTTACATATGTATGAGTATGCATTGCGACGAAGCAAAATGTTAAAACCGTAAACATATCAGATAATACGGCCATTTAAACAATTTTAGCGCTATATACAACACGTACATACCATATATACACATAAATATATAAATCCATGTATTGCAAGTAATAAGCTAAGTAAATACATAGAAATTTAGGTATTCAGAGACGCATGTAACAACATTGACATATGTACATATGCAAGAAAAAATGCTAAAAATACATACATACATAGATTATACATATATTACGGTAAATATAATAATGTATAGTGCATACATTACATAACCATAATTAGTTTTCTGTTAAATTTCTAAGTATAATATTATATGTTTTGTTTGTTACGAAAATTAACTAATGAAAACGGAAATTGCCTTTAAGTAGAAATATATTTTTAATTATTTTACTAATTGTGAATTCAATAAATTATTTATTTACTCAGTTTTGTTGCATCAGGAACAAAATATAATGTTAGATCGACAAGCAATAGTGATTAGGCTTGGTTTGTTTTTCTAACTAGTCCATATTACAGATAAAGTCAAGAAGGTATACGCACATTTACACATAGCTCAGCACATCTCTAAGAAGTAAGTAATGAGAGAGTACCGCGTAAGGTGCTGAAAAATGCCTCCAATGCAACACCCCAAACGATTTCTATATCTAAATCCACAAAGATTATTAAGATTAGCGACTAGAAACTGTTGCAAAGCATATAAGCATTCTCAGCTATAATAAAAATATTTTTAGGATATGCTAGTACTTTCAAGTACCTTGTGGTTCAACATTTTTTCCTGCTCGCTTACAAAACCACGGAGCAATGTAGAAAGTAGGTGTATGAATGAAGTAGTTGTTTTTAAAATAAAATTTTTACATATCCTGATCATTCGAATGGTTACCTCATAGCTAGCGAGTTCAGTATTAATTTTCAAACAAGGTGAAATAATGTCCAACATTTCAGTAAAAAAAATGTCTGCAATCTCATCAATTACTTATAACTCTGCTTTACCATTAGCATGAATCACAAATAGTCAGCTGCCTAGAAATGATTACGATTGTTAGACAGATATACAAGTACAAGTATAGCAGTTTCATATATTTTAGTCTAAAACAGATATATACATAGCAAACTGTTTGAACAAAAATCTTAGTAAAAATTTTACTTTGGGTTTGTTCACACCCACCTTGTTCTTATTGAAAATTTAGGATACGCCGACAGAACTAGGCACACTTTCTGCATCAACTTGTATGCTTTTTAACTAGTTCGCTCCTAGTCGATCAAGACATTCTACTTGTGGTGGTAGTTTCAATTCATAAACTTTATACATTTTTGGTAGTGAGAAAGTTTGGGGAAAGCTATTTGGAATAAGTTATAGATTTTCGATACTGGACACTGAAAGGCGTATATAGAGTTAGTATAGTCAGATGGTTAGATTGGAGCAATTAGTCGGCATACAACTAGAATGCTGGCTGCTGAATGATTATTGTTGTTAAATATTTTTTAGTATAATTTTATTTATCTACACTTATTGTACAAATTAAGAACACAAACAACCTACTATCATGTATACATACATACATATACATATGTTACCTACATATGTATATCATACACATTTAAGTAGAATATATTTACATGCAAATATATGAAAAATGTAAAAGACTACAAAAACAAAAACAAATCATGACAAAATCTCCCATCAAAATGTATCAATTAACAAAAGAACAGAAAAAAAGAAAACAAACCGTTGAAGTGAATAATGTAAACACATGCAATTATATACATATTTATGTATATTCCAAGTTTTTACATAATATGGAAAAATTTAGAAGTCAATATGTGAAAAATAGTTCTATCAAATTAATTAAAAAAAAAAAATAGGTCAAAATTATATCCGTATTTATTATAAAATATATTATAAAATTATTGTAATATGATTAATAAAATGGATTTTTAAAGCAGATAGAAAAAACCTTAAATTTAAGCCGACTTTGTGTTGGATGTTCATAAATTTTATAAAAATAAGTGTAAATATGATAGTGTAAGAAAAACTTAGGCACACCATCAACTAAAAGAAATTAAAAATATCATAAATAATATTAATGAGGCATAAATAATATACTCGTATATGAATACATTTAACACATACTCACATTTAAAAGCAATATTTTGTATGTAAGGTAATATGAATTTATCAGTAAATTATTCCAAAATATTTTATTTATATAGCAAACGATCGTTCAAAGTACTTAACCTAAACATTCTAATGATGCATTCATACCTAGCAGATATTTTTATTTTTTTAGCAGCACAATTTTAACAAAAACTACTATTTTAACTTCAATATTTTTTAAGACTTTTGGATAAATGATTATTTTTTAGCTAAACCAATTTTGCTTCGCCACTTCTCTATTCGCTATGTTTGAACTCTCTTCTTTTGTCAAAAAATTTACATTCGAACACGACAACATAGTTATACCTATAATGGAATTTATTAGAAGAGAGAATATGTTTCATTTAAGTAGTATTACCGCATGCTATTTTATTCAAATGCTAATTGGGTTAACACACTAGTTGTTTTTTCAATTCCCAAACAGATAGCATGGAGATATACTACTTATACTACTGTAAAGAGTCAAATTTAAATGTAATGAGAACGGAGCTCCAAAATAGCGAACTGAGATATGGCGAATTTTTTTTTATCTTTACAGGGTATGTTTCCTTTAAGATTTGTTAAGTATAATAACGGCAATATGTTGTAAAAGATGAATATAACTTCTTGGAATCTTTCTTATAGTACTGAGATGAAATTAACTCTCTACTTTCAAATAAACTGTTCAGTATAAATCGGTTGTCCACGGTAACTTAGTGGACTTAACCTATTTAAAAACATTGCGAAAAATATTTAATAAGAGGAAAACAGTTGCATGCATACAGTTTAAAATAGTTTTTCCAACAATTTTTTTATTTCGCCCACAAGTTCTTAGATCTTTAATAGATTGCATAACCAGTATACTTGTATTACAAATCTCAGAGCTTAAAGTGATATGAAATATCATTTATACTCACAAAAGAGTAAACCATTTTCATACTCGCCCATAACAGATGCATATGTTATATGTGGTTTTTATATAATATTTCGCCAAAAAATATCAAAAAGTATAATGAAATAAAAATTCTTCCACAACAAAAATTGTCGACAGTTCTGCAAAGGTAATGCATATGAATATATCAACGAATATCAGCAGAAAAAATATAAATATTTAGCATATGTACATATGTACATTCATACTACATACCAGAAAGGTCCTAAACACAACCAACGCCCTTCACTTACATACCATATATGATGTTAACAAATAAAATTAAAAATAAAAAAGACAAATTATAGAAAATCATATAAATAATTGTAATTAACCAGTTTTAGCCTAAGTATATAATGTAAATTAAGGAAATACAACTTATCTTAGCAAATGTGCCGGCAAAGTGTAATATTGAAAAGTAAATGTTTTAAAAATATTTAAAATAAAAACTAAAAATTAATGACATCATGCAAAAAGAAGAGATTTAATAGCAAACAACACTAATATTGAGTTAGTAGCAAATGCGTAACATAAAAAAATATTATAATTAACAGTACGTAAACACGTAAATAAATTTGAAATTAGAATAATTTAGTGCAGGTCATATTCTTTCTGCTTTTCCCCTCCTAAGCATTAGTCGTATTTGGAGGTTGATACTCAAACATATGGGTACTCATAACGGAAGCTAAGAATGGCAGGGATATTGATCCAATGCTCAGAACGGTTGGTGGTAATGGAAGCCGGTGCTTACATGTTGATTTAAAAAAGTATTTTATTTGAACTTAGACAAAGTACATAAATTTTATTTATGAAAAATACAAATATTCAAACTTACATGTCACGAGATTCAAACTGAATGCATCTTTTAGAATATTATACGCTTGGTATATTGGGTTAACTCGCTACCACCTTTACTCTATTTATGAAAATGATTTTGCAAAACCTCCTTTACCGAGAAGTTTACAACGTAATCTATTTGAAATCTCTCTGTGCATCACTGTTTTAGTGGAAAGTTTTCATGCTACCTTTGGTAAAACCAAGTAAAATATTTTTAAATTTCAGAGATATTAATTTTGATTTGAGGAGAGCGTCAACAAAAAATAAATTTCTGTTTTAATAGTGTTTTAAACAATTTACTGTTTTAAATATTGTGTTAACGATATATAATATATAAACTGTTAACTTGTAAGTATCGAATTGTAACGGTAAACTTTTAATCAGTCGTTGTTTAAAAAAGTGTGTGTGTTCTTTTGCTATGCAATTCGGTAAAATGAAAAATAAATCACTTTTATTTTAGTATTAAATGCAGTCGCATGGTATTCATGAATTTATTTACGCTTTTTATACTATAGAACAAAGAAATATCCGAATAGGCATACTATATAACCCAAAAATATAAATTTTGGAAAAAAGTAAAAGTTGTATTTACCTTCAAGATTTTAATAACTAATTGCGTTGTCTTTGCTGTTGATCAATACATTCCGAAAACTATTAAAAAATTAATAGATCATCTTATGGAAAACAAAATATTGCTATTTGTTCGAACTATATACATAGATTATATTGACTTTAAATTTCCAGTTAAAAATTCATAACCTGTGTATATTCTATACGATTTTATATTTTCAATAAATTACACTAGTTAAATTAAAACGAATATTAAATCAAGTATATATAAATAATAAAATAAATATAAATCATAAAGTAAAATATAAGTATTTGAACTTAAGTGTTGATGTGTTTGTAATTTATTGCGCAAAAACTATGAAAAATTAATTACATTTACTTAATTTGTTGTAAATTAAAAACTAAATACATAAGATAACAGTTGTATTGCAATTTTCGATTAAAACAAATAATATAGAAAATGTTATAATTATGCACATTTGCAAAAGCGTAAAAATAAGATCGAACTTGCAATCGAAAATCTTAATCATACACCATTTAAAGTTATCACTACAATTTAAATCATGATTATATGATTAATTACAATACATGCGCGTATGTGTATGTGTGAACATGAACGAATTAACCGTAATTGTATCAAGCTGTAATTAATGTACCATACACTGCAAACAATAAATCATGGAAATAGTATAAATATCTCATAAATATTTGCATACAAAAGGTCCCTAACGGGCCATACAAAAACACTTTTAATTTAACAATTCACTATAATTTAATAACGGCATTTAAGTATTTGGAAACAATCAAATACTTATGCATACAAAATCATAAGCAACACTTACATATGATAACTGAATTATTATAATTAAATATTATTATATAATCCATATTTAATATAATGCAAATGTTAAAGTGCAACAATGTTCAATAAGAAGTTCTGTAACGAATGGCAGGCTTTCCAACTATTAAAAAATACAAAAGCAAAATCATGGAATAAATCATATAGAATATGCCCACAGATACGATGGATTATAAACTCTGTAATTATATGATATCGTAAAAAGCAGCTGCAACAAATGGAGTAAACATACTATTAAAATATAATTGTTAATCAAAAACAAAAAAAAATGCCAGTGTTTTTTATTTGATACCAAAAATACCCAATACAGTTGCAGCAACATTAATATGATAAAGCGTAATAGACTTAACCAAATAATAGCCGTCATCGATTCGCTATTTTTCTGTTCGTTAACCTTGAGCGCTGCGCTTTAGCAAATATAAGTTACGTACAAAGCAATAACAAAATTAACGAGTTGAATTTGATTAAGGGAAAATACGGATATCCCAATAAAGTGGTATAACTCATTAAAGTTTTTAACAAGTTTTATTTTACAGATTTTGGACAACAAATTATTGCTAAAATGAGAATGCAAAGATTTTTTATTGATTTCAAAACTTAAGATTTTAACTTGTTTATAGAAGTCGATAGGCATAGCCGCTGCTCGAAACCAAGAGGTTACTAAAACGTTACATCTGTTTCAACTGCTGGTATAATTTGATCGATTCGCATGTTGAATCTAACACAGTTACTTTCAATTTAAAAATTATATTTCAAAATATAAGTGAGTAACGATTTTTCAGATTAAAACTCAAATATAAAAGGAATATAGCCATGAAATTATAAAATCAGGGTTGCCATTTCTATCAACATTAAATAAGAGCCAATATTTCCAATTCATAGTTCAGTAATATTTTACCGTTAAGGGCGTATGAAATAAACCTTCTCCACCTAAAATAATAAAATATATCCACATGTGCAATAATTTGTGCTAAATAAATACTACAACAATCATTGACGGTCTACAATTTATAAATATATACGTATGTACATATGTATAAATATATGTACGTCTATTCACATGCAGAAAATGATGATGAATTGTGCTGAACAAGTCCAGCAAATACAAATTGCATCCGTTGTGAAAGATCAAAAATGAAATAAGTAGCGGAAATTGGAAAAATCAACATTACAAATTAATGCGCATACAATGGTAAAAAAAAAGCAACAACGAAAACAAACAAATATAAATATTGCAATAGCAACATGGGGGAACTGTACAGCCGAGTAGAAACAACCCCGTGTGTTGTTAACAGCATCGTCTACCCCAAAGAGACGGTAATATTAGAGCTCAATTCATATTTACTCAACGTTTGGTGCTGTTGGTGTTGTGGGGGGCGTGAATATAATGAATGTGATAGAAGAGATTGTTACTGTGTTTAGCGGACGAGCTTATAAATATTGCAAATGGAAATATATGAACAGTGATGTGTATGGAAATAGATTCTTTACAACGTGTAGTTTATTGCAACATTTAAATTGGTTAAGTAAAATTTAATTAATATATCTCTTTGCTCTATGTTATATCTATATATGTATATACATGCATATGTAGTACGTAGAATAGGGTGGGTAAAAATCCTATATTGTTTCCCGCTTGGTACTTTGAAAAATAGGTTCTCAGATATTCTAAGAAAGTCTCTCCGCGTATGAGCTCTTAATTGTAACGGAAAGGTCCTCCGTCTTACAGGTGGAGTCGGTATTTTGTGACTTTAATTACGATAGTGAATATCAATAAACTCCCGCAAAAATTACTGTGTAATTGATGTGGAAGATGGGTGATAACATTAAGAACCTCATTAAAATTAAATCACATTATAAATAATAATTTTCACAGATCGTTTTTGGAATAGTTGAAAAGTTACATTTCTTAAAAAGTGGTGTGAAAACAATTAAAAGTAGAGACAAAATCTTAATTTTTTAACCTTGATCTGAAAGATATTTTTACTAGCACATTATTTTAAATTTAAAAAACTAACTAGAAAATGTAATAACTATGGAATATATTTATTATACATCCGGCAATTTAGTTAACTTTTTTTTCAATAATTTTATACTTCGTTACTAAACATGATTTTAGCTTCTTAAGTTTTCCATTTTAACATCGCCGTCGCAAGATAGAACCCTTTTCCGCAATTCTTTATTCTAGTGTATATGTAAATTCAAAATTTGCTACTCGACTTTGCAATATTACATAGTACATCCAAATATTACCAAAAATACGAATATAATAAAACGCCTGTGAAAATGTGGAAATCATTGACTCGAATACCATCCGCTACGTTCACCAATTCCCAGAGCGCCTCTATTGTACATCTGCTTTTAGAATGCTGATGAATCGGCAACACTTTAAGGTCAGCTCCCCCAAAACCGAGTGCTATTTGGCAATTTGGCAACCGTCAACTCTAAATACATACAAATATTTCTCAATATATGCTATTATATAATATATGCATATACACATAGATGGAGCCAAGGTGTACGTGCTTCATCAGCGCAAACCAACCCTTATTGTAACTTCATCAGTCGAGGTTTCCACACCCTCTCACTCCATTTGGATTACCAAAGCAAAAATTTTTGAAAAAACGACTGATGAACATGAAACCATTTCCAACACGAACGTACAGTATGCAATTTTCGTACCTTTGGCTATTTTCCCCATTACTCACACACTCCCAAGCAGAATTGCTCCCCTTAGACGAAATAAATTTCAATACGCATTTTTAGACTCACGCAAGGTTGTTGTGTCTACGTGTATATGCCGATGTTAATGATAACTTTGTATTAACGGATGTACTAGTTCCAGTGACGTAAGCTATATTTTGAAAAATGGAGAGGAAGATACAATTTCGGAGCGGCAATTGAAATATCACACACAACTTTAATAAAAATAGTCTGTGTTTGGAGAAATAAATTAATATGTAAAACCGAAATAACTGTAAATGTATAGGTATTAAATTTGATCAAATCTGTGGCTTGTAAATTCTAAACAGAAGTGCAGTTAACTGATGTAGAGGTTTGTGTTCCCCCTTAATCCCCCTTATAACGACACTCCAAATGTACAAATTTATAGGTAGATGACTTTAATATCTGATGTGCTCTTGGCACATACGAAAATTAACATTAAATTTTTGGTTTGATTACCTTCAATCGAACCACCACCGCCAGCACACATCGTAACACTGTTGCATATCGTTCGTAACAAAACACGCGGGGGTTGAAACGGCCAGTTTTTCACGCTTTAAAATGTAATTTTTTTGGCAATTATCTTTTCACATTTTGTTTTACGTTGCCTTAATAGAACGATGAGACATCAAAGATTTGACGTATCGCTACATTTTCGGTGTCACGTTTTAAAGTAACAACGGATTATTTTACGCTTAATTCGATATGAGAAAATTTTGTTTATAAACAAGTGTATCTTATTAAAGACTAAAGTCATTTGGGCATAAAATATGATATTTGAATTCTGCACACAGAATAGGAGGCACTTAAACCTTTGTGAAGCATGGCATAATACTTACATACTTGTATATGTATCTTGAATAATAACGCAAGAATAAAAGAAGACTTGATTGTGACACGTAACGAAATGAGCTGTCAAACTTTCATGATAATTATAAACAAAGCCTTCCTCTTCATTCTTTTATTATGTCACGTTTCAATGTATTTATATGTCAAAAATATTTCAAAACAAGTAAAAACGTTAACTTCAGTTGCACCGGAGCTATAATACCCTACACAAATACAAAAGATTCCTAAATAACGATTCCTGCCAAATTTCGTGTAGATATACCTACCGTTAGTGGTTCCGCTAAATGAGCAATTTCTTGCTTAGAAAAGTACGTGTGCAAAATTTCAGATTGTTATCTCAAAAACTGTAGGACTAGTTCGCGTATATACACACAGGTGGACGGACGGACAGACAGGCAGACGGGCATGTCTAAATCGACTCAGCTCATCATACTGATCATTTATATAAGGTCTCCGACGGACAAAGTTTTGACATAAAAGCAAAATACTTATCGATTTCAAACCCCAAGAAGTTATTAGATATTTAACAAATTTTATAGCCATAATTGCTATATTTTGTACAAGCTTTTTACAGCATTCGTTATTAATCACACAGTTTTTAAGATACCATATATTTTGCAACATTTTAAGTCAATGTATTTATATTAAGCCACACTCTGGTAGGATTCACAAAACTGATATTTATAAAGCAAATTGTGTAACTGTTTTCTAATCAGGCAGTGTCTGCAAAAGCAAGATGTCTATAGTTAGCTCTTTGAATAACATGAGATTGATTGGATATCTCAATTATGATTTAAGGGCGGCAAATGATAAACTCTAACTAAAATGAGTGTTTGAGTGTGAAAGTGGAAATTTTGTATTCAACCATGTGTTCTGCAAGTCACAAAACAAAAATATTCAAGCTTTCTTACGCCCAACTTTTCAATAAAGCAACTATTTATATTGGAACTTCAGATTTTTGAAAAGATACGCAAATGAAGCATCCTGATTTTCAGGAGAAGCTGAGAACTAACATACCGGAAGAATCTATCGGTTAGTGAATGTTTTTTTTTTAACTTTTCGAAATTACAAACTTTTAGATTAACTTCGAACACAGATTTCAAATTGGTTGTGTATGAATTCAACCTGTTTACTACACTGAGTATTCAAAATCTACTCATATCTGAAAGCTTTCGTTTTCTATATATAAATTTTTTCATTTTCTTTGTAACAAATTAATGTCAACGCTCGGGGAAACATTTTGAAGGCTCTGTAATAAATCGGCAAATCTCATTCTCTGTCGCTGAAATGTCTAATGTTCTGCAAGCAATTGGACGAAACTATTTACGTCGGCTACAGCATAGGCAACACAATCAACTCAAAGTTAAAGGAACATTCTTCATACGTAAGTTTAGAATTTCATTGACGGCTGCTAACAAGGAAACCCCAAATAGTACAAAGCCAATTCAGAAAGAAATGCGGAACAAAAGCAACAACACAAATAAAAGATTTAGCAGCATACGCAACAATAATGCGGAAGCTTACCAAGTGTTGGCGCAGCCATTTGCGGGACGGCAAAGTCTGCGCTCAACATTATTGTACGCCAAATCCGCAATGGATTTACGGCTCAATTTTTGTGTGCGTGCCGAACTCTCTCGCGCCCCGTTTATCGTGCCCCTGTGCAACTACGACGGAATACAGGCAACTGTAGGTAAGAAAATACGTTAACTGAATGAATGAAACAATGAATGTGTAGTCGAAACTCACGTTCAGCGGCAACGAAAAGCTGGAAAACTTCAAAAAATACGACCAACAAAAGAATCGTGCGCTACGCATTGACAATGGCATGACCCTAGTAGCACCCACAACTAAGTCAACAAGAACAACACCAGCGCCAGCACCAGTCGAGCAATTGGCATCTTGGCAATGGGGTTGCTGCATTGCGAAGTGGTGGCGTGAGCGTGAACTTGGCATGTGGCAGCAGCCCACCCGCCGAGCACTTTGACATATTTTGGGGTTCAGCCCGATGTTGCGTGCTGGTGACTGCGGTTGCCGTTTACCAACTGCTAGTAGCTGGTACTGGTGCTGTTGCTGCTGATGTTGTTGGCGATGCCAATGTTGTCGCTTTTGCTGTTGCTATTTGAAGCTGCGGGTCTTTTATTGGACTTGCTTTTTGTGTGACAGGGATTTGTTTTGCCATTTAAATTCTTTTCCTTCATTTGTGCTGGTTCTTTATTGTTTGCTATGGTCTGTGGTTAGCTGCAACGAACACAATAGGGCGAACCTGGGCGCGTATATTCTCATGGCTTTGACTCTTGTTAAATTAGAAGCAGTTAAAGCAAAGCAATATTTCTCGTAAGGATTACATTTTTATCGTTTAGTGTGACAGACGGCAGCCGTTGCTTGTCATTTAAATGGCACACAGTTGTTTGTGTGGTAGTGTACGCAGTGACAGGCGAGTCAGCAGATACAGCCAGCAAGCAAGCGTGATTTTTGCCGCTTAATCATGTTAGTCGGTTTATTCAAGCATTTTATTACATGTGTCGAGCCGCCTGCCGCTTGCCGCTTGCTGCTTGCCGGCTAATGGGATGATTGAGTATGGGATATAGCGAGGCATACCTGGCATAATTAGATTTTCCAGACAACCGTTTACATACCTCAGAAATGTGTGTATGTTTGTATGTGTTAATGTGTGTAGTTGCCTGAATTATTGACATCTAATTACTCATTACACCGCTTTACTTAAAGTTCTAATGAAATTTGCGATACATTTATTATATGGCCAAAATATTTTCCATCTGTATTAGACAAATATTTTTAAGCAGTAATATTATACAGCAAAAACCAATGATAATATAGAAAGAGTTAAAGAGGCAGTGCTTGAAAATCGTCGTGTTGATGTCATATAGGGAGATAGCAGAGAATCTTAACATCTCTTATGGATCGACTCAACACATTTTGGTTAATGTTTTGGATATGAAGCAAGCCTCGTGTCAAAAGACTTGAATCATTCGCAAAAACGAAGTCGAGTAGAAGTCACAAAAGAGATGATGAACATCGTAGCTGAGGACCCTACATTCATCAGGCCGAAGCTTATAACAAGTATATGAAAAACTCGATTAAGCATTGTATTGACACAAAAGGAGCCTATTTTGTGTTAAAATATGTGAAAATGATAAATATTTTTGTTAGTCTCGCTCAAATTTGAACACTCTCGTGAATCAGAATAATAAAATAGTGCAAAACCCATTTACCTACTGAACACCCTACAACATTTTAAAAATCCATCAAACACTTCATTAAAGAGATAAAGCTAACCAATTGTGGGAAACTCTTACATAGATATTACATTGTTGCCTCATAATTTTCACAACCTTAAAATCTGATCTTTTAAAAGCCTTCAAGTACAGAAATAGGTATAACATTCTATGAAAAATTGTGAACAGTTAATGTTCTCTACTTTTGTAAAACGTATAAGGATTTCAAAAGGTCAGTTTCGATCAGTTTCAGCCCCCCTAACGTTAGTAAAGCACGAATAAACTAAAAAATATAATTCGTCAGTTATTGGCTGAAATTAAGCAGCCGCAATTTATCCCATTTACATCTCCGCTGGTATATGTACACGGCCCTCCCATTCCGTTGACCATCTACAATATTAATTACTTAATTTGAATTTACTACCCCACACAACACCATAAGCTTCGCTATGTATACTTGGAATTGTGGCAGTTTTATTCGTGTTTTTGTCTTTCTTTGCTATTTTGTTGTCGTTGTTTGGATTGTTAATATTGTTGGTAATGTTGTTGTCAATGCTGTCTTATGGCGCATTACATGCACCCATCAACGCACTGTAACCAACCGGTAACTCCAAACATTAATTTACTATCAAAACAGAGGCTAACACGGAACGAATCGGTACGGTACCAAGGGGTGTGGCAAAAAAGATCAGATAACGAGGGTTCTAACGCTGCCAATGCTCTTCCATTGGATACAAGTACAAGTTGTGGCAGTCGCTAGACGCTTGGCAGTTGGCAGTTGTCGGTTTATATTTGCAACAATAGCAAAAGAACTAAGAACGAGTACAGGGTGGGGAGGTGTATGGAGTGTGGCGTGTGCTCAAATTGCGGCCACGTGACTCTATTGTGTTAGTGATGCCCTCGTTGTCTTGGTTAGGTTGGTAAAAAAGGATAATAAATTGCATTTAATTTGACTTCATTGTTGTACTCCTTTAAAACTGATCAGGGATCAGTTTAGCATTCGACGAAGGGAAGCAATTTCAGCAATAAAATTATTACAATAGGTAGATAATCTATTATCTTAGGTACATATCTATACGCATGTATATTATTTATGTTTTTCGATTATACTCGTATTTACAATTATGAAAATGTTTGAATAAATTCTTAAACGGTATGAAATATGGAACTAAGATTTGTATTAAATTTCACAGACGTACAAATGGTTTTGGAAGAAAAATTTAAGAAAACATTATTTTTTCGTTAATCAGGATTCCGTAAGTACTCGCGAAATTAATTTATTATAATAAGCCTGTATCTGTAACCAATCCAAATGATGTCTTACTAACCTAATTTTCACTGTAATCTTTCAAATTATTCTTCTAAGAAGCATGAATATATTAAAATTTAACCTCAACTTACACACCAAGAACAGCCACAAAGCAAGGGTTTTGGAAACTGTTGACATATGATTTTTTGTTCATCTCAAACCTAATGGTTATTTAGTTCATACGAAATATTTGTTTTGATGCGAATGAAAACGCCAACAGATATTTATAATAACTTTGAAAATGAGATAGGCTAATTGTCAACGAAGTCATTTGACAGTGGAACCCAAAAACGAGCTGTTTTTAAACGAAGGCGACCCTTAGGAAGTGGTAGTATTTCCGGTTTTCTTTAACATTAGCTCGACTTTTGAATACATAATAGAATTTTAACTTCGTACTTCACAAAATGTAAAATTTGTATTTTTACGCACATCGTTTATAGATATATGTGTACATATATACCACACCCTTGCGCATATACTCGGTAGTCTGGTTCGCTTCAATCACTCACGTGAACAATAAAATCGCCGTTTCTATGTTAGATAGTCGTCATAACCAGTGTTGATTTAAGATTTTTAATAAGATGTCAAAATGACGTCTAAAGCCAGATATCATGCTGTGTAGCTACGCCATACCGCTATGAAAGTTTACAACTTTGCTACTAACATCAGGATTTAATCAAATAAATATGTAATATTTTATAATACATATCTGTTTAAAGTATTTGTATAAATTAATTGAAATATGTAGTAATTTGAACGTAATACAAAATAATAAGTAGAAATAGACTTGACTTCAATGTTCAAAACTTCTAATCTCTTCCTAACTCCAACTATATTATTGATTGAATTTACTTATTTTTCTGCTTTCAGGATGGCGCGATTCGCTTCTCTCAATACCGAAAAAATGGCTTTCCACTGCAGAGTCGGTCGACGAATTTGGCTTTCCCTGCGTAAGTGTTAATAAACAGTAATATATTTTATAAATATTGGCCATAAATGCGTTTGATTCGTTTAGTCACAGCGACAAAATTTGTAACACCCAGAAGGAGAACGAACCCGGAATTTATTCAGCCATGTCCCTCAGTGTCTAAGACATTTATCTGCAATTTTGCACACTTTTATTTCAATCCGAGAATCTACTCAGTTGTCGGAATCGTCGCTATCGAATCACTACAGGATAAAGCTGTCATGACAACTGACCGATCCAAATCCAATTCTTGTAATGTTTTATTTAACACAAAATTCGGACGGACGGATCTATGACAACGCTATAATCTCGATACGTATTGTTCGAATCGGACTAGTATAACACATAGCCACTACCAAAAAAATTATGAAAGACCATGGCATATCTCCGGGCGTATTTCTCGTGTAAAAAAAGTCTCAAAATGGTGCAACTCTTAACATCAATTAGTACTAAATCAGATAGAAATGTTAGATACAAGATTATCTTTTATAAAAACAACAATATACATACTAGACACGAGCAGACTTTCCGTGATGAACTGGTTCCAATGCGTAGAAAGTCGCAGCAGTCATCCACCAAAGTTATGGCGACTGTAATTTGGCATCAACATGAAATAATTTTCAACGACTATCTTTAAAAGGGAGAACTCATTAATAGGTGTCTATATAACTGCGTCAGAATCCAATCTTAATTCTGATTTTGATCGGTCAGTTTGAATGGCAGCTATAGCTATATTGGTTCGATCTGAACAATTTGTTCGATTATTCTACCGTTCTCTTGGATATTAATCTATGCCATATTTCGTGAATATACCTTAACAAATAGTTTGACAAGCATCAGAATTTCAGACCGGTATCTTAAAAACTGAGAGACTCGTGTGTGTACAGATGCACAGATAGACCGGCATGGCTAAATCGACTCAGCTCGTCACGCTGATCATTTATATACATATATATCTTATAGGGTATCCAACTTCTTTTTGGGTGTTAGAAGGGTCGTGGCAAACTTAAAACCCTGTTCAGGGTATAATGATAGCAAAATCGTATGAATTGCACTTCGCATTGTTCTGCATCCACCGTATTTTCCGGATGTCTACACATCGAACTTTTCATGTTTTTAGATTTCAAAAAATTGCTTGCGATAAAGAGGTTTAACTCCAATGTAGAGATAATCGACGAGACTACATTCAGAGTTTCGACCTTGATGACAACAACTCGTACGTTAAACAATGAAATTGATTTTTTCAAAAATGTTTTTTTTAAAGAAAACAATATATACTCTAAAATCAAAATCGGCTTCGAAAAAATTTATAAATTTTATATGTATAAAAAAGATATTGGCCCAAATTTGAGACCTTATAACATTTGTCATATAAACTTCACCGAAAAATATTATACATAATGACAGTAGTTACTTATATACTGTGATTAGTAATAATGTTTTCATTAACCTCAATTACGAAATTCGAATGCAAATATTTCGATTTTGAAGTCTAACTTCGAAAAACGGCGAAGTTTAAAAACGGACACTATCACAATTGGTTTGATCCTAAACACCACTAAAAACAAAGTCGTGTTCGCCGTTGAGCGTAATTACTGATCCTGACTCACCATATATACTAATAGGGAATTTGAACGTCTAGTGGTATATTTGATTGGTCCTAAACAAACACGCTACAACATGTCACGAAAACCAAATATGTACCTTCAACCCCAACGCTTAAAAAATACACCAGTAATCCTGTTTAATATAATTAGTAATGCAAATACTGAACAAATTTACCAGTTTCTTTGGCTAGCCAAAAATTCTCCCAATTTTAGATTTCTATTTTATGTCTTCCTCCATCTCCATTAGCCAATTTATTTTTTGAGTTGATTTTGAGTTGACAATCACTTTGCCAAACTTAAACATTTAAGACATGCTGAGAGATGGACATAAATTCAATCAATTTATGAGGGCTAGGGGTAGTTACTAGTATGATTAAATTTCAACCTTTTTCGTACCCATTTTAGTATCAAGAATTTTATATACCTATACAATTTTGACCAACATATCCTTTAATGTTTGCGCAAACTTTTAGGAATCTCATTCAAAAAAAGATGTCATGATATACTGAAAAACCGCCTATTATTCTGATTAAAATTGTATATTTTTTACTTGTTTCTATAGTATTTACATTTCTAACGATGATTTTTCTGTTTAATATTTTTAATTGTAGGCACTACCAAAAGTACCAGTCCCACCGTTGGAGGAGACCATGGCTAATTACATACTTGCCATAGAAGCTTTCACGACACCGGCAAAACTCGAATGTACGAAACTTTTAGTTAAAAAATTTTCAGGTCCAGATGGTATTGGCCAAAAATGTCATCAATATTTAATGGACAAGCGTGAAGCTGAGGATAATTGGGTGAGCTCATACTATATGATATGTTAAGTTGGAATATCCTTAATTAGCGAAAAATTATTTTTCACCTACCCAACTTTACATATTAATACATATAAACTAGTTCCCGTATATATGATATATTTCTAAGAAAACTTAATACAACAGGCTATAACAAGCACATAATAGTTTTGTTCCAAACCGGCTGTTTGAAACAGCTTATACATACTTGTATATCAAGATATTCTGGATAGCAGAACGACTTAATATTCAGAGTCTTGTCTGACAGTTGATCCGTCGAATCGCACAAGTGAAAGTTTTAGTAAACACTTAGATATCTTGCAGAGATTTGGCATTCCTAGGAGGTTTAGTATTGCTTGTAAATCGCAGCAATATGCATAATCGGACAATTGTCAAGCCCACCAACTTTAAGGCTCAGAGTTCACAGTGGAAAGGAGAAGATGTTGTTTTAAAAGCGCAGTGTAATAGTTTAATGCATTTCCATCCTTCCACATGGTTTTATATCGTATCGTGTGCACGGTTTTTTAAAGTAATCTTATTTTGTGTCACAAATGCTCGAGACTTTTTTCTGCCCTACATTTACCTAATATAATGATTTCTGTCCCTCTGGGTATATTAAGTTTACGACGAAGTTTGTAACACCCAGAAGGAATTAAATAATATATATATATAAATGATCATCGTGACGAGCTGAGTCGATTTAACCATGTCCGTCTGTATGCGTTGTGGTGATAATGAAATAGTAAATAATAAAGCAATCTATTCAAAATGAGACAGCATTTATTACTTTCTTTCTAAAATACAAGATTTAACATTTTTTTAATATTGAATTTTAAATAATTTTGGTGCTTATGCATCAGGAGGAGTTAAATCAATCACTGGTGGTGTTGCTGCTGGTGTTGGAGGTGTAGGTACATTTGGGGCGGAAGTTACTGGAGATGGTGGTCCAGGGTATGTAGTGCTGGCATTTGGTGGGGTCGGAACACCTGATGAGTTTGTAGTTGGGCTTGTAGTTGTTGTGGTAGTTGCATTAGCAGGTGTCCTTGTTGTCCTGATTGTTGTGGTTCTTGTTGTTGTTGTTGTGCTTTGCGTACTTGGATAGTATGGTGTTGGATAGCCTATTGTTGTTGTAGTTGCTGCGCTGCTACTATTACCACCAGAACCATCACTACCAATTGCAACGCAAATGGGAGTATTTTGTGTTTTGAGATTTTCACATGGCGGAGGCGGTATATACTCGTTGCATGCATTGCATTGTTGATATACATAAGTAAAATAGTTACCACTTTGGCATGGTGTCAAGACTGGATTTCCCACGCCAAAGCAGGTATAGTAAGTGCTTTGATTCGCATAATTGGGCCATTTGATGTAAATGTCTTTTATATCACAAGCCGGCTTCAGTTCCGTAGTGAAGGTCTTTAGACTAGGGCATGCTGCAGTTACGCATTGTGCCGCTAATATGACGCAAATAACTCCAATTACTGAAAATGTGAGAAGTGAAAATGTATGAAATTTCGTATACATAACTCTATATGAAATATGAATTAAGTCAATAATTGCAATTATAAAGCCTATATTTTTGAGCATTAAATAAAATGGAAACTGGAAAATATTCTCAACTCAACTCACCTGTCTTCATGTTGTCGTAGTTGTACTGTACGCACTGTGATGGAGACACTGATTTCTGTTACCCGTTCAATCCGTTTATATGCGAATTCATTCCGCATAAGAATCATGCGACATACAAGTAATTTAATCAGCTTGTTAAGTCTTGTTAATACCAAAGCTTGTAATTGAGCGGCAATTGACATTTCCCATTCAGAAACTGATTTCAACATTTCTTTATTAAAACTAATCTTCTACAGATTCTTGCTAAGTATGTACGTATGTTTGTATTATTCCTTATCACAGCATGAGTACGAATTTCGTAATTACTCTGCTTATCAGAAGTTGAAGTAATATTAACATGTACTATGTGAAATTCGTGAAATTCGTGAAATTCGTCAGATGACAAAAATCCGGAAGCAACAAAGGTACATCGAAATATTAATTGATTTTTTAAGCATAGAAGTCTGAATTGTATCGGGTCAATAATTCCTTTAGCCCCCATATACCTAATAGAAGAAGTTTCGAACTACCGGCTGACTTTATATAATTCGCTGAGAACATGATATTGAAATTGTCGAATGGTGCCAAAAGGAGCCGACTCCCTAGTCGAGATTTTATTGGAAACATAGATTTAAACAGACATAGATTTAGGATAACGAGAACAATAGAATTCCGAATATCTATTTGTCCATACTTATTTGCCAATTTTGACGATATAAAGTCAGCAGGTAGTTCGAAAATATTTCTATTAGGTATATGGGGACTAAAGGTAGCGCACCGCAAGGGCATTCGTGCAAAATTTGACTGATGCTTGTTTGCATAAAGGAAAGTGAAAGGTTAAAAGTTGATTTTAAAATTGTGTTATATGAGAACTATGCGTGGTTGCAGTCCGATTTCGCCTATTGAAACATAGGAGTGTGAAGATACATACCAAATTTGGTAGATATCGGTCAAGTAGGTCCTGAAATATGAGTTTCCTATAAAGTATTTATTTATTGATTTATCATGCTTTTAGTAGTATTTAACAGAACCGTTATATGGAGAGTAGGCGGAATGATCACCCGATTTTATCCATTTTTACAGTGTCGGTGCTTAAGAGATGTGTCATGAACGAATTTGGTTGTAGCACCTTAAGTGGTTTAGGAGATATGTACATTAAATCTTTTAAAGGGCGAAGCCAAACTCATTTTTTAAAAATTTTCATCCCGCAGGTGCTTCTTGCTACTTTGATCCCCTGTTTTATATCTTAATTTGCGGCTTGATTATGGCAATTTAAAGGTTTTTGTTCAATGGCGTTTTGTGGGCATAGCAGTGGACCATTTACGCTCACTTACACGGCATCACCTTTTTGCCAAGGAACATGTGCACCAAGTTTCATTACAATATTTCAATATTTACTCAAGTTACAGTTTCCACAGACAGACGGATGGACAGGCAATTATCCGGATTTTAACTCGTCTCACTTTTAATAGATAACTCATATGAGCATAAAAATTCGCACGAGTGGTGCCTTCAACTCTCAACAAAAAATGGTCCAAATCGGACTAAATATTTTCAAGCCTCGAATAAAAGAACCAACGGCCAATGTCCCACTTTATGCCGAAAATATTGGACAATTATTTGGTTCATTATTTCCTCCAGTCTCCACATACCTAACACAATGATTTTCATTGACCTTACACCATATGTATATTGGTCAGTATGTGAGATATCTTAACAAAATAAAGTGTGTGTAATATCTTGCACAAACCTTGATTTATATCGGAACATGATTTACACTAGCTAATTAGCATTTGAGCATAAATCATTATAATTTATATATAGTGATGAAAAAAGGCACATATACTTGGTGGATGATATCCATTTTTATAGCCAACTAACTAACATAAACAGTAGTCCTCAAATTCTGTATAGGGATCTATGAGAAAGTGTGGTATGATTTAAACATTTTTTGGAAAAGAGTTGCCACCTTGCTTGAGTTGCCTACTAAAAGTTAAATGAATATCAAAAGCGCTTTATATTGAAAGTATCATTCAACAGTAACATTGTTGGATGATATAGATATAGCAACAGATGACAGCGCAATGATTTCATTAAGACTTGTTAAGATAGCTCAAATATTTCACAAGTTATGTACAAACAATTTGTTTTCTACCATTCTGTCATATCCTTTATACTATACGCATATGGTACATATATTTACAAAATGAACTTATTTATAAAACCCCATGAACTAGTGCTATGAGTGCTAAATGGATAAATGTTTGAGAGGAAAGATGATTTTTTTTAGAAACGACACATCTAAATTTATCTACCGAAGTAAAGGTCGAATGCAAAAAGTAAAAACTGCGAAAAAATTTTGAATACACCTGCTTTATAGTCTTGATAGTAACTTTGAATATATTAAGGTGAGAATACTTCACTTACACTGTATCGTACTTCCAATACAGTGCGGGCATAACATATGAAATATTTTATTTAGAAGAAGCAGATCAAGAATCCATTACTCGTATAATAAAAGTTATACTCTCGAAATGCGGTTAATCAGTTTATTATATAATATTTATGTAGTATTGAAATTCCGCTTATTTAACTATCTGTATACATGAAGTTATAATGAAAATTAAATTGAACCGTTATAGGTACATATTTTATCGTATCCTACTCTTTACGTTGTGTTGGTGGCTTCTTCGGCGTTGGTGGTTTTTTTTGCGTTTTTGGCTCAGTTTTTTGTGGCGCTTTTTTTTCTGATGGTTTAACTGGTTTCTTCTTATTATCTGTTGTGGACTGTTTTTTAATAGGTGGGGCGGGCTGTTTCTTAACCGGCAGTTTAGATTGTGGCTTGACGGGTTTCTTGACGACTGGTGGTGTTGGTTCTGGTGTAGGTGGTAATGGCACAGTGACACCATTAGATTGTTCGTTAGATGGTTTCAACTTGCTAGGTAACGAATGCTTCATTGGTTCCTCTTTAATTTCGCTAGGGTTTTCACTTTCATTTGTATGATCACCATATGGTGGCTCAAAGTTTAATGGCTTAGGATTTTCACCAGTTATAACGGGAAGCTGTTGTGGAGCCGAAATTATTGGCGGTTGATTATCGGTGTGGTATAATGGCACAGGTAGTGACATAGCATTGATTGTGAGTTCTTGTTTTGGTGAACTTGTTGGTAAAATATTAATTGGTGGTGCGGGAATATACCGTCCGGGTGATGTACACGATTGTAGTACAAACGTGAAAAGTTCTCCTTGTCCACAGGTCATCTTAATTTGTTTACCTCCAATCCGATTGCACACATAGTAATCCGAGCTGCTGTAGTAGCTTGGCCAACGTATGCCGATCTCTTCCTTAGAACATATCAATTCATAATCTATGAAGCCTTGTGCCACAGCTGCCAGGCAAAGGGTCGTTACGATCAGCGTGAGTCCTAGTATAATGAAAAGATTTTATTATTTATAACCGTTGTTTTTAAAGTTGTTGTGAAATTCTTAAAAGTATAGTTTTGAATCCTTTTCTTATTTATTTTAACTTTTAGGTTTTTTTTTGTATCATATCCTATATTGAAACTTAACTGACAGCCTACCTCTCATTTCTGGCTCTTTGTGATGCGTTAGTTTACTTCTGTTGCTGTGTTCCGAACGAACCCAATTTTTGAAGTGCTTGATTTTTACAAGTGATCTCATTATTTATAGTGACATTTTTGTTTCTTTTTTCTTGTCGCAGTTATTATTTCCTGACCGAAAATATTGCTATATAGATAACGATCTGATTGATTTTAACTGTATCAGAAAATTTGTCAATTTTATCTTTCCGCTATCATTCATTTTTTTAACAAATTCCACTACACACCCCACAATTCCTTTGCTAGTTACAGCTCTCGTAAAAATATATTTGATTATCAAAAAAGGGTCCGCCTAGGTTGCAAACACGTTATGTGTGATACAGAATAGGACACACCCAAACTAAAGGAAAAATTACAACTGAAACAAATATTTAATTGAAATTCGAAAAACAACTTTTCAGATAAAAAATATTCATTTAGGTGAATACGACTTACGGACTGATCATGCATGCAATTTGGCATGGGAAGCAGCTGAATATTCTGTACCTTAAAAAATGGGTTAGAACAACCTCTGATCCTATATTGATATGACTTTAATAACCGTATTAAAGAAACGAAACTGTAACGAGTAAGTCCCAGGCATATCTTGGGAAAGTTAACTTCACATTGCTTTCAATACATACATACGAGTACTACGTATATGTACATATATGGACTAAAAAGTATTGGCCTAATAATAAAAGAACGTTTTTTGAATGAAAATGTTGCTTTATTCTTAGATATAGTATCCATCTTTTAATTTAATTTAATTTTTTTTAAACGGTTCTCCAACATTACGATACCAGTTCGCTAGTGTACAGCTTTTAGACCTTCAAAATATGCGTTTGTTTACATCCTGGCCTCCTCATTTAAGTAAAATCTTGAGTGTCAATTTCGACAAATACGGTGGATGGAGGACTAGTTCATAACGCAATTCCTTAAATTTATTAGTCTTTTGACAAACTAACTGCGATGTTTATTAAACGCGGTACCCAACGCGCGCAAAAATTTTTGATTTCCAAAAATTTGTGAATTATAGTATAACCTTTGCATTCCTTTGAGATACCAATGATGTTAACTAACAATCCTGTATGCTAGTTGATTACAATTGTCGTTACGCTTGCATTGAATATGTCACTGATACAGTATTGTTATTAAAGAGAACTAATATAGTCAACTGTTCCTGAGCAAATTCCGCAATTTGACAGTTCTACCAATTACAATATTAAGAGTTTATAGTATTCCATAATATACACAACTGTCTACGTTAGTACGACAGCTGGACTCGCGCAATTAAACATATGTAGATGACTGATAGGGGTCGTTCAATTTTAATTTATAACAAAATTCAGCAAAACAGTACTTAATAAATAACAAGCCATTTTTTTTGCATCAACTGTGTTTTTAGTCACCAGGAAACAGTATTTTGTCAAAACATGAAATTCACTTTTGCCATTGTAAACAAAAATATCAGAGGTAACATCATTTTGAGATTAACAGCTTGAGAACGACAAGGGGACGAATTTTTGCGTGTGAGCTCACGGTCAGACCAGGTACTTTTCAGCCATATTTTTAGCTACTTATGTCCTTATAATACATGTGACGAAATCAAACTGACTAATTCAAATATTAATGCATACTTTGAAAATTGATAATTAAATAAATTAGAAAATGACAAGATAAATCTAAAGCATTATTTTACCACTTTCTAAAACATGTGGCATACAAATTTACTGTAAATATTTTGATTTCAAATTATATTTATCTCTTAAATTTCAACACCTATTTCTGAATGAACGCGATTCTGAATGTCTGCCTGGTAGAAAAAAACCATTTAACAACAAAATATTTTATCGGAACATCAATCTATTTTAGTATCAGAAGAGAACAGTGGTAGTCATTACGAAGATCAATGACATTGTGTTTTATTTTTGAGTGTTTGTGAACAAGCAGTATGTGTAATATTCGTAAAATTATCGGTTTAAATTACGGCAATTAGAAATTCTCTAATGACATTTTCAAAGACAGATTTTTACTTATTGATGAACCATCACAATTGAAAACCTTTTCATACTACCGCAAATGAAATATTTGTCCCGTACCGAGGAAGTTCTTTCCAAAAGTATTATATATTTCAAACATAAATATTTATCTATGTGTCTTCAACTCAACACCAACTTTTCTTATCAGATTCCGGTGCACATTAAAATCAACAAAATTAAGTTAACACGGAAAGTAATTGTACCGTGTTGAATATGGAACATATATACAATATTGCAATTATTTACTAGTTATCACAGACTTATTTTTTTCAATGATTCGGTACCTAAGATTACTTCACATCATGTCGTTCTCCTGTCAAAACAAATTAGCAATTTAACAATTCGTACTGGCGTTGGTAACAAAAAGAATGAAACATGATTATGTAGCGTTCATCCTAGTAACGGTAACGGCAGGAAAACGGAGACTCGGGGAGAATTCTATCGTTGTTGAAAAAACGAACTGAGTACCCCGTTTAAATTTGGACCCAGTACATAATTTTCTAGCTAACACACCTGAACAATCAGACAAAACAAATTTTTTTTAAACATGTTTTATTCAAATTCTGAGGACTTGCATGGGTTATCTCTCTTACTGTACGACTTACTTACTTACTGTATAGGACTATGTAAGAACCGATTCCACATACTTTATAACACTTGACGTAATGTTTTCAACGTTAACTATGTATATAATATTAAGACCAGAAAGTTTCCGGAAATTGTTGGCCCACAAATCCGGCCGTTTACGACGGATGTTTTCACGCAAACGCCTCAAAACGCTCAAGTAATACTCTTTATTGACCGTCTGTCTCGTTCAATACTATCGATCAACCACCGTATTCACCCGATTTGGTCCCATGTGACTTATTTCTTTCCAAAACTCAAGTTAGCACTCCGTTTCGACTCGATTGAGGCCGTAACAGAAAAGAGAGGGAGCTGAAGGCGATCCCGGACCCGAAACTGCAAGGCATGTTTCGATGATTGGAAAAACAGGTAGCATATGTGTATCGCTTCAGAAGGAACAATTACCGGAAACTTTCTGGTCATGCAATATTAAGCTGCTAGGGGTAGATTTGTAGGGATTTTAAATAAGCCTCGGTTTCTGTTATCACTAAACTCTAGTACCATTAGCTATAATGTGCATTAAACCTAATAAAAGTTGGTACGTTCTTTTGCAGGCTTACAATTATTGGCTAAATGACATGTACATGGATGTTCGTTTGCCTTTGCCAATCAACTCAAATCCCGGCATGCCAATGCCACCGGTCCGTTTTACAACAGTGCATGACGTGGCACGCTTTGCAGCACTCCTATTGAGCGGCATCATGAAGCATAAGGAACTACTGGACAGGTATATACCAATATATATTTATATATTAGGCATTAACACATTGAAAAATGAACGGATAGCGGCAATTTAACCATCGATCGTGCGGGTTCGCGTGAGAAGAATCAACCACTATGCATGGCACAATACTATCGACCGCTGGGTTCATGCCGCAGACCGGGTTTGGAACGGGACACACAGTACATAGTAGAGCGCGGCGAGAAAAGTGACGAACATGTTATTGTGGTGTGTCGCAACCAGATGTATTGTATTAATTTGAAAACCAGTAGTCGCGGCAGAATATCGGAGACTGAAATCGCTTCAAATATCTTACATGTACTCAGCGATGCACCATGTTTGCCAACTAAACCACCAATGGTGGGCCTACTTACTGCCGAGGAGCGTACACGTTGGGCCACAAATCGTGATTTACTGCTGGAGAATGAAGTCAATCAGAATAGTATTTTGTTGATTGAGAAAGCTCTATGTATGCTATGTATCGACGAACCGCTGCCGAATACATTCAATGCTTACACATTCACTGGCGCCACACCAACAGGTTATTTAGTTGGTGATCGCGATGACACGAATATGTTGCACGAAATGATACATGGCGGCGGTAGCGGTTACAATTCCGCCAATCGGTGGTTCGATAAAGTCCTACAAATAATCATCTGCACCGACGGTACTTGGGGTATTAACTACGAGCATTCCTTTTCAGAGGGCGATGCCATTGTGAATGTCATAGAAAAAATCTATAAGAATTTAGAGGAAAAGCAATCGGCATGCAATAGTGTACCGTCGGACCCAACACCCGAACGAATACCATGGGTCATAACACCTCAAATGGATGAACGTATTAAACAGGCCGCCGTCGCAGTCGACAAGTAAGTGTACTGGCGAAAGTCGAGAAGAGTTATATATACAAGTATATAGTAGAATACATAATGCTTATACTCATGACATAATAATGATTACAGGGCGATCGGGGACTTCGATTTGTATGTGTACCGTTACAAAGGTTATGGCAAAAACTTCATCAAACAATGCAAGTGCAGTCCGGATGCCTTCTTGCAGCTAATGTTACAGTTATCCTATTTCAAGTAAGAGTAAAATTACCAATAACAATTAATTTTACTATCCGCAAATAATACATACATAAATATATATTTCTTCTAAATTATGTTTCTTTATTTAAAACAGATTGTATGGTCATTGCGTAGCCACTTACGAGAGTGCTTCCACTAGGCGATTCTTGTTGGTATGCAGACACATACTATGATTATATGCATATAGATATAAATATTTATGACTAATTTTAAATTGTTTTCCTTAAGGGTCGAGTTGATTGCATTCGAGCTTCCCACAAAGAGGCACTCGAATGGGCCACAGCCATGTGTCAAGGCGAAGGCGCAAATGTGCCATTGGAGAGCGAGGGCGAGGATGACGATGCGCGTAAAGTCAAATTTAGCATTTATAATGTAAGCACTGAAATCTCCTTAAGAAAAACTTCTCTCATTTCTTTGTTTTTATTCTTTAAATAGAAAGATAAGCTCAAAGAACTTTTCCGCATTGCCTGTAACCGTCAAACTGAAATTATGGTTCAAAATATACTAGGACATGGCATCGATATACCATTGTTGGGCTTACGTGAGGCCAGTAAGGAATTTAATAACGGTCAGGTTCACGAACTTTTTAACCATGAAACATTTCAAACTGCCAATATTTTCTTGTTGAGCACAAGTCAGGTATGATTACTTTTAATGTTTTTAACTAATCTCATTGCTTTTGTTCACACCAGAATTGCACCTATTTAATGCCTCACCAAAATATTTACAAAACTTTTTCGCTTAGAACACATTTTTTTTCTGCTTTGTTTTTTGTTATACAAACATTTATAGAAGCAGTTATTTAAAAAAATTTTATTTAAGTCTTTAAGTCTGCTACAAAAAAAGATCACCAATTACATCTGAATACCATTAAATTTAGTCAGGAGCCTTCTTTTTATTTCAAGAGATCAGTTGTTGAAAACTCTCTTTAAATTGACCAAAGTAATCTCATCATCAGCAGGAATTTCCACCACTCTTCGAATCTAATAAGCAAAGTAGATTTTATTAGTAGTTCCGAAAAACATCATATGCAACTAGATTATGTATGTGATACTAGAAAATTTTTCATTTAATTTCTACATTTAAAACACTTTTCATATACATATATTATATGTAAATGTTTGTTATTTTATATACATTGTGGGTGGACAAGAAAAACTTGCTAAGCACAATCCACAATAAAAAGTGGTCAGACTAACTTGAAAATATAAAAATTTGTTATACTATTATAACTATAAATCAAAATTATAACTAAAATATGGATGAAAGTTGTAATAGGAGCTCTCAAGCTCCATATACTACGTGGGTAGAAAAATTTTAGGCTTTTGGCTTGATAAATGTTAAAGCAAATTTGAAATTTGACAGGTACGGGTTTGCTGGATTACGTCATAACGCCAGGAAGCATCAAATATATAGTAAAATAAATGGATCGGGTGCATCGACATCATTGACATCTCAAGAGAATACTTAGGCCATGTATTCTCTTGAGATGTCAATCATTAATGAATTTTACAAATGAAAGTTATGATAAGTTATGTGATTTTTGAACATCGATCTATACGGCATCGATTCAAAGCACAATTTCGAATTGATAGCATCTAATAAGTAGCCGTTTCTGCGCCCATTTCTGGCAATGAATGAAATATATGAAGATATATCATTACACATTTGAGTCCAATCGGCAGTAAGCTGCATGATTATTACCCGCTAGAGACTATCCAAAGCGCTCGAAAACAAAACAGTCGGCCCGCAACGTTTTAGGCAATATTTTACTAGAATTTATATGGAATTATTTTCGTCGATTACCGCTAAGGTATCAGTAAAACAAACAATATTGCTTTGCGTTATGGTTTCGATTGGACGTCGATATCCAAGTGTAGCCAAATTGTAAGTCCTACGCTTTACCACCCATTTAGTACACTGCGAGAAAATAACATAATTTAATTAAACCTTAGGCTCACTACTTAAGAAGCAGACTTAAAGAAGTCGATTTTTGGATCAAAAAAAAAATAAAAACTATTATATCACATGAGACTTACGAATATATATTTATATTTATACGCGATCTCCGATACCTCCTCCGTGGACGTTAGGCTTCTTCAAACTAGAAGATATTGTCCGTACAATGACCTACGGTCGAAAATCTAAATTGACATAATTGTGGCGAGTAAGAAAAGTTGATTTTTACCCTAAAGGTAAGGCGTTTTTAGGCATCCCTGCGGCAAATTCCAAAAATGCTGCTTCGAGAAATACGCATCAATAGCTGATTGAATTGAGCGGCTGTACTTTAGCCTATAATAAAAAAAATATTTGAAATATTCATGCGAAATTGTATTATGGTGTTTGTAAAGTTCTATTCGATATGTCCATCGAAATATGCAAAAAAAGAAAAATATATACATATTTATTTTAATTTCACACCTGGTATGCCTTTTAAGGGGGTATTCTAGTCTAGAGACATGAATTTAAGGTAATTTTTAAAATGTCTTAAAAAAAAGAGAATCAATATTTTTACCATCGACCTTTTTATCTGTTATTTATTAATGTTACAAGAGTACAGAAAAAAATTTAAAAAAAAATTTTAATTTAAAAAACTGGCAGCTGATAAAGTGGGGGGTCTCAAAAAATTGACACATGGGCATACCCACGATTTCAACCCTCCTAGTCATCTGAAATGAACAAAAAAAGGTTATCAATCTGCAATAATGGCGCAATTCTATGAACTAGCACTAAGTAAAAAAAAATTTTTTTTTTTTTAATGACGACTGTTTGAAAAAAACGACCATTTTTTTATTTCCCTGAAAATTTCAAGTAAATCGGTCAGTTTTTCTTGTCCCCTCTGCTAGATGTACATATGTGTTTTATATTTAAACAATTTTTACCTGTATTTGCAAATTGTAACACAGCTTGGCATAAGCACTGATCTCATTTTATTACTACGCACAGTTTCTTGAGTACAGCCGTACCTTGGTATTTCAGTTTCACACTCAAGGACACACGAATCTAAAAAACAACACATGTGTGTATATATGTCGATTGCACCGCACCGAGCAGCACTGCACTGTTTTATTTGTTCACTATGCACCATTAAAATTATGCTAAGGCACAGCGCACTCGACAATATGGAAGCCACACGCCTCTACTTATCTATTATGTAATTGCAATATAGAAATAGTTATAAGACAGTGTAAGTTTTTTATCACTACATACAAATTTTGCACATGCCTTTCTATGCATATATTTATAAATGCATATATACTATAGATATTCATATACTCGTAGAATATATTTATATATACACTTATACATATGTATACTCGCAGGATATGTATATATATGTATATGTGTATCTTAAGTAAACGCGAGTTTGCTATAAATACAAATTCACCATACTTCCAAATAATTAACAGGTGGCTACAAAATCGGACGCTTTTATGGGTTATGGCGCAGTGACGCCACGTGGCTATGGCTGCTCATACAATCCACATGCCGATGATATTACATTTTGTATATCGGCATTTTATTCCTGCGAGGATACAAGCACCACTCGCTTTGCCAAATCGCTGAAGGAATCGCTGGACATGATGAAGGATCTGATGAAAGATGAAACAGACCAAACAAAATGAGGCATAAGCGACAAAGAGTCGTGCCAACAACAATTTACAGGTAGATTGTTGGTAAACAGCTAATATACCAAGACAACCGTAAAATAGCAAGCAACAAAGTAACAAATATACTTATACATATCAGCAAGCGTACCTTAACATTATAATGAACTGCGTTGAAATTAGTTAATTGTACTCGTATTATACCTAAATATAATGTGTTATATATACATAAACACATACATATATAATATACCTCTATATGTATGTATGTACTAGAGAAATTTATGAAATTGTTGAAAATCTTATTGTTAGTTGAAAAAATATTAAAATATAAATATTATATATATGTATATCTATCGTAGGAAAGAGTGAGACTTAACAAATCTCAATTATATGTGTATGTGTATGCACAAGTAACAACTATTTTCGTTGAAGAAAAATTAGTAGCAAATTATTGCCTTTGGAAACATTTGCAAATAAAAAAGAGCACCACCATTAAATAAAAAAAATAAATTAAGTTTATTTATGGTACATTATATGCAGTTGATCTATCTATAGATCTACATTTATATAAGCATATTATAGCTGAGTATAGAAAGAAAAGGTTTTCACCAGCTCAGTTGCATGTTACATAACTGATTTACTAGGAAACTCAACGACTAAATAATACTCAGAGTGTTAAAACATCGGTTCAACCAAATTATACTAAATATATACAAATAAATACATACAAATGAATACACCACATCTAGTTATGCCGTTAATCTCCAATGTAGAAAACTCTATTTGAACACCATTCATCGGCATAACAGTAGAATATGAAAAGCTTAGGCTAGTGTGGTGTAAGTCTTTATTGCTATAATCCACAAACAACCGAATCCTGTATTCATGAATTTAGACAATGTATATATAAAAAAATAGGGCCGCAAAATGCGATGTTTTCGATTTTCTAAATTTATCACAGTACAATACTATACTATTAACAACTTTATACCTTAAAGAGAACATAAAGCTCCAAGCTAGAATAAAAAACAAAACAGCATTGTGTTCGACGAAAACTTCGACAGGCTTGCTCACCCCTTAAGTTTCATTTTACATTCGATATGATCTTACCAGTTGTCACCAGTTCCGAACAAATTCGGGTCAAGAGCACTGGCAGTGTTCGCACCTATCTGCTGTTTAAAACATTTTGTTAGCTCTAACTGGTTCTTTGGTTATAGAAAAACTGTTTCTATATATATTTGTATGTATATCTAAATTCGTATTGGCAATAATACATCAATATTCTCTGAAAGTATTTTACCAATGGCTCAAAAGAAGTTTATATAATCAAGCGAAAGTAGAAGCATTAAAGCAAGTCGAGGCAAAAGCAACGTGAGTACGAACGCGGTTGCAATTTAGATCACAAAAAGCATTAACTGCTTTTCAATAAGTTCTCTATTTCGAACGTAATTTCGCAGAAAAAAAGTGTGTCTCAGTCGTTACTGCAATCTAACTTTTTATCAGCAAAGTATTATATATTGTATGTATTATATATATACTTCAATAGGTTCCACCAAAAGTAGCGAATGATTACGTGAAGAAACTTGAGTATTTATTAAAGGAAATGATTCAGTTATCTGTCAAAAAATAGGTAGCATATAATACTAACCTAGAGTCAATTAAACGTACAAGTAAAAAAATATATAAATATACAAACACACATTTGCACATATACATACATACATACCAAACTAAGCAGATGTTTTTAAACTGTATATTAGGCACAAATTGTTTAATGCTTGTTAGCAGTTATGTGCATATTTAGTTATGTATTATACATATGTAGTGTATAAATGGATGAGAAGAAACGCAACCCGAAACATCAGTATTATTTGACTTTTGGCAGATAAGGGCAAAGGCTAAGAGAATACTAAATTACCATCGAGGTAACATTTTCGACTAACTTTGATCTCGACCTTCTATCGATCTAACCCCGCACAGGAATACTGTTTATCGATTGTTTTAATATCTTCGCAGTAGTAGATGAAGATAATACCACGTGAATCTCAGTAAAATAATGGATAAAACCTTGCTGGCCGACTATTATGTTGAGATGCCAATGATTTACTCCATTTCATTTTACTGTCAACGAACACAATTTCACGAATTTTCACGCTGTTTTTTTTGGATATCAGTATCTTTTGTAGCGCTCCTGCACGGTAAATTAAACAAACACTATTTTCTCCCATTAGATAGCAATGATTTGACCAAATTTTTTAATTTTTTCTTTTTAACAAAATTTTTTTAGTATTCCAATTAAGGTTAGTACTCTAAGGCAAGGCTAGAGTTCTCACCAAAGGCCAAAGTTTGTTCAGCACAAAACATTTTCTTTAGTGTTTTTCATGTAATACATCTTTTCGTAAAAAGAACATTTTAATTATAGTATATTATATATTTCTTACTAAGTTAAGGAAGCTGTTTAAATGACGAAATTTTTTATTCATATTCTATAATTAATATCGCACCTTTTCCTCCCTATATATTTAGTTTTCAATGCTGGTAGAATAGCATTGGGCCTTCAAATTTACACGTATTGTAGAGTAGGGTATTTTATTAGCATCCATGCGGCACACTTGCTAAGTTAAGCATCTAAAAGCACACTACAAAGATTTTCTGCTTCGTTATCGTTTATCGCATACATACCCTGCGAAAAAAACCTGAAATAATTTAGGTTGATTTAAAGTTCAACACTACTATACTATACTATACTATATATATGTGTAACTTCACCACAGGTAAATATCAACTCCTTACATTAAATTTAAGATATTTCGCAGTTTTAGAAATATATATATGTAACATGACGACTACTAGCGTATGTACATAATAAGTACATATGTATATACACACATATCCAAATTGTTATAGACTTGAAGTGAACCAATACATACAGCATACAATTATGTATGTGACAGATATACTAATACATTTATATATGTATAATACAAAAAAGATGCTTTTAGAATATGCAGCGAAAAAAATTATTTAAAGAAAAAATGTGTTTATACATTTAGCAGTTATATTGGTAGATTGTTGTAATGTGTATGTAGTTGATGAACTTGAAAATTGTTGAATTTGAAAACTATGAAAAATATAATATTGTAATAATGAAAGTTTATGTTAAAATGCGTATACGTATTGCTGTTGTTGCTGAAAATTATATAAATTTTATTGTTATACATAGGTCATCTATAGACACTATATATACACATGTGTTTGTATGTGTATTTATGTATATTTACGCAAAGCAAATGCAATTTTTTTTTATATATGTGCATATAATAACCCTGCAGTAAAAATAAACAAAACGGACCGCCATCAGGTGGACGCAAGTGGGGCTTAAAGCATGAAAAATATCTAAGTTGCTTAATAACTCCTAATTTATGTTAATTCCTCTATTAAAACGTGGAAAGCGAACTTGTTAATGAGCTAGCGGAATGAAAACTCAATGGCAGATTGTTATATAAGTTGTTATATAAGTTCGTCATGCAAAACTGTAATTTATCATGTTAGAATTACATAACACATATATATGTATATAATTTGTTCACCAGAGATTTTTTAGTAAAACAATTTACTATGGGGATATTATAGCCGTACTTTTTGTAATCTACTCGCAAAGAGAAAACACCGGGTAATAAATTCAAATACAACGCAAATGAGAGAATTAAAGAATATCTGATTCGAATCAAAGTGTTGTAAAGTAAAGCAATTAAGCAAGAGCTAATATATAATCTGGAGATTAGCCAGAACTAAAAGTTTTTGAAATATTCCCAGTTATGTATTAGTTAGATATTCGTTCGGCAAATTGTCAACCGTAAATGTATAAAATTTTCCAAAAATTTTGTAACACCCAGAAGGAAACGTCGGAGATCCTATAAAAAATATATATAAATGAGTAGCATGAAATCAAGTACTTGTATGGAAAACTTTTTTATTGGACAAGATATATTCGCGAAATTCGACATGGAATATTGTCTAAATCAATGCTAATAAACTTCGAGTAAATTGTTGAAATCGGACTACTATAGCATATAGCGGCCAGACAAACTGACCAATCAAATTTTTTATATTTGTAAAGGGTATTTTAGCTTCGGTGCAACTGAACTTATCGTGTTTTCTTGTTTTAAAAAACAAATATCGATTGTTTTGAAATTTTCTGAGTATATTTTTACATGTTTCAAGAATACACTGCGAAATTTTGAAAAAAATTAAATACTTTTTGAGTTATACGAGATCTCCGACGGCGCAAAAAAAAGTCCTTCATTGCTGCAGTGATTCCGGCCTTCCCTGTGCATGAAATCTAAAAATAAAAAAATCTCGTTAAACTAGTAAATATTTTCCGTACAAAAAAAAAAACGATCAAAGGAAAATCAAAAATTGACAAAATTACAGCGTTTTTAAAAAAAGTTGAATTTTACCACAAATTTTTGATCAGATCGAAAAAGCGATAGGAATTATACAATGTAGAATTATATACAAAACAGGCAGAAAAAAATATCTTGATAGTCGAATCATTTTTCTTCGAGTTATCACTGCAGCAAATTCGAAAAATGCTGTTTCGAGAAAAACGTGTTTAAAGATGAACTGTTGCAGCTGGTTGAACTGAGGGTTTACTCTTTAAATGACTGTAACTCAAAAACTATTTGAGATATCGATTTAAAATTTTAGTATGTTATTTTTAAAATTTCGCACTAGGTGTGCCCCTTAATAAACTATGCCCACCCATTTCATTGCGATACCTCAAATATTTTGAGATGAGTGTAACCATATAATCGGAACACTATTAAAATAAATAAACTTATAACATGCAATATTACGGTATATTAACTTACAAATTTCGAGAAAAAGCGTTCTATCGAGATTACAAAAAGTGCGGTTATCAAGCACATTTTCAGTTATATGCATAGTTATATGTATGTAAGATGCGAATACTCAAACATGACATAAAATTTAGTTTATATAGAAAATACTAATACATACATAAAAATACATACTTGTATGTAAGTAGAACAATTATAATAAATACATATATACAATCAAAAAAAATAAATCATATACATAAATGCCAATTTATTTACATATGTACTCATATGTGTACAGAAACTGAAAACCATAGAAAATGATCATACGAACTTCTTTGTTATTGTGTTTATTGTTATTGCTTGCTCGTAGTGAATTAGGATGTGTAAGCAGGCACATAAATTATGAAAAACTAGTCGAAACTATTATTACCTATGATATAGTATTGTGTTGATTTGTTAAGAGTTGAAAGTTTAAATATGCTAATAATTAATATTATTTCTTAATTATTAGGGCGTGTGTAAAGCACCCCATACTATCCAAAAACATTTATGGAAATAATGTTATTATGTATGTATCATGTTGCACGCATTTCCATTTGATTTGTTGTGTTTCATTCAATTGTTTAATATTGACCCTCTTACGTATATAAATACATATTTACATATATGAATGTGTTTTGTGTAACCTGAATAAAATATGTATCTACAAAACAGAAACTTTTTTGATTATTAATTTTATATTTTTCAAAAGTATTTAGGTTAGGTTAGGTTATCTTGTGATCCACGTCTCAAAAGCAACGAAAGATCCCACTTGGACAGCTGCAAATGCTGGTCCTTTGTGACGCTCAGAATTCGTATGTAGATATGGATCTGCAGACCACCATATATCGACGAAACGTTTTCAGCTTACCACAAATATCTTAAGAGGGCTAATATCAATCCCTGCCAATTCACTAGATGTATCAATCTCAGTATTGCAAGAGCTGGAAAGTAGAGCAGAAAATACCTACCGCTCTCAATCTGATTAAATTGGGTTAAGGATGCCCTCTATAGCAAGCACATCAAATATAGTTTGGTTGTCGTCGATGTCATCTAACGGGAGGCCCAGGAAACGCGCTGCTTCGACGATGTCGAACCATACGGAGAAAGGTGTTAGATGAGTGGGGTTCGTTGGACATGCAAACAGCTGGTTAGTGTCAGAAAAGGTAGGAGTTAAACCTGCTACGGTATCCACAACGAAGTTGCGCAAGCGTCACTCTAGATTCTCGTGGCAACTCGAGCTCTTCATTTGCGATTGGTGGTGGTTTGACTTCAAGTACGCCATTCACTAAGAGGAAGTCGGTGAAGGTGTTGATGGCTCCTCTGTGTATGGCGATGATATCTAAAGTTAGGCGTCACCGTAATCAAGGAAGGACCTCTTGATGTTCCTAGGAGGCGGTTCCGGTTCAAGCAGACAACTGCAGGGGTGGTTCTGCTATCGATGGCGGCCATCTCCATTTGAGGATGCTAAAAAGTGTCTATGTTCGAAAGAAAATTATGGTATATACAGTATTCAAAATTGTTTGTCCAGTGTTAAAATTGTTGTACATTTAGTTTACTATGTATTCAGACGCTCGAACCGACCCACATCTAATTCGCAATCTGTTAATAGCAAATTGCATTGTGTCATTTCACTCAGTTTTCAAGATTGTCTCTTTCAATCAATATAAGTTATTTTTGTATATTTGCTATATATAATAATAACACTATCAATTAAATAACTTTATACACTACTTCTACACACTAAGCTAAACATCTAAACCATGCATGAATAGATGTAGGAGGAAAGCGGCAGATATAGATCGATTCGTTCACGGATTTAGCAACTTTTGAAATAATTCTCAATTTTTAAACTCTCGCAACATGCTGCACAAAGTAGAATGGTTCAGTTCACCTAACGGTTGTTTGCAACATCTAATATATACATACTTGTATAACCAATTGCACAGGATCAACGAATTCATCCAAGTGTCTATCTGTGCTTCCGATCTTTCATTTTATCTGTCTGTGTAACAACATGAGTAGTAGAGATATTTTAACTAAACTTGATACAAGTGTTCATTCATGCTCTATGATATTTAAAATTACAGAATAGTATAATCAGGTCATGGCCACGACCATAAAATGGCGTTATTTACATTAGCAAGCTTTACAATAAATAACTTAAATATCAGTTAGGAACATTCTTTATGATACAGTTGAGCAAATACATGGAATTATTACGCCTTTAATTCTTACAATTCGGCAAAGTATAATATATACATACCACGCAGCTGCATCCGAGTTTAGCGCTTTCTTACTTAACTAAAGTATTTATTTGTTCAGCTTATTTGTAATGCAGAAAAATCCAACAAATTATCGCCAGTAGCTTGGAGCAGCTTTATATCTATTGACCAATTGGGATTCATTGACGGCACAATAAATCCGAATTGTTAAATAAACTAATTAAGAAGTTATCACACCGCATTACTATGTATGTACATACATATATGAATATATATGTTTAATCAGTGATAAATGCATTGAATTAAAACGGGAAAATATATCTATGTAAATATTTGGCGCCTACCAAACGGGCTATTGTTTAATTAAAACTTTATCGGCAATCAGTTATTTTGCAATAATTTCTCATAATAGATAAAATATTTAGTATTTGCGTATAAATAGGCGAGGCATGCCTTTTAGACATGTATTCCACGAATCATACCGAACGAATAGTATCCCAAACATACGCGAACGCAAAACTCATCCAAAATGAAAGGTAAATTTATATACATTATATATTTAAACAATCGCTACTACTATTAAGAGAAAATTATTATTTCTTTTTCTCATCATCTTTTGTTTGGTAGTATTTCAACTGCTTTTTAGCGTGATTCTATCGCTTTTATTGTTGGCATCGTCCGTTTTTGCACAAACTTATACCGGTCCCACCGCTCCCACAGAGCAGCCGACGGCCCCAACAGTAAATGTAGAAAGCACTGACGACGGTCCACCAAGTGTTTCCGTAACGCCTGCACCTGCACCGACTTCAACCGTGACTACATTGTATGGCACAACCGCCAGAACATAAACCGCGACCTGCGTGCAATGAGGCTCCGCATGATACCACCTCTTTGCATGCCCAACAAACCCAACTTATCTAACACCCTTTTCCCTATGGTCCGACCCCGTCGAAACAGCCTGTTTCTTGCGCTTCCCGTTAGATGACCTCGACGACAACCAAACTATCACTTATCATCCAAGCGGGGACTAGACCGTTACAACAACAAAAACAACAACATAAACCGGGATATCTTCACATAAGTTTGTCTCTACAACTCTTAATTTTTTTCTAAATACAATGATGTACGAAGATTTCTTAAGTCATACAGGAGAAACAAAATTTTTGAATAAACCAGGAGTACTTCTGTAATTAGTATAAATTATGGTTCGCAAATGTGTTATGTTTTAATTATTTGGTAATTTTCCCAATCATGCGATAATAAAATATTATTGAAAATTTTTCAAAATGAATAACCACTTTCGTTTCCTAATGGACTTTATATAGTATTTGCATTATATAATATTCGCCTTGGGGTAATAAAAGTAATAGTAAAACTTGAAAAATCTTGCATAGAATACCAAATTGGAGAAACCGGTGCTGCCATACTTATGCCCTTAGTTTAAATGTTGAATCAGCTGCCATATTGCAAATCTTGATATTTATAATTAATACAGGATCTCATTTCGCAAACAAAGTGATAGCTGTTCTATGCTTCAGACATATTTTCACTATATTATACTGCTTTACCAGGCACTAAACATCAAGACGTACCCAACGGTTATTGCAACTAATTTTCGTAATACAAAGAAACCTTGCGTATTAGCAAACACAACCATTGAAAGAATAAATACTTCTTGCTTTCGGCTTAACATTTACAAGTATATTTGAATAAAATACACATGTGCACTTTGTCATATATACATACATATATCGAAACATACACACATACTATAATTTAATTTAATGCCTATGACTCTAAGCGCTTTGCGGGACATTGTTTAATTTTATTCGCTAAAATCTAAAATAAATATATATATATACATATATATAACATATATGTAGTTGTATCGATATATTCTTTTCATAGATTTAT